GGGGCCCCCCCCCCCCCCCCCCCCCAATTGGCAAAATTCGTTCTGCGTTGTTGGGTCATGTAGCTGCGTGCAGTAGCCTATTCATCCGTCTGCTACGTGGAACAGCTTACTGGTTTCATTCAAGAGCAAGGCTTGGTGCCGCCACTTGCAAAGCTTCGTCGCTCGGATGGCAACGTTTGGCTTCATGATGTACGTTGGTGGGCGTACACCAAAGTGCAGAAATGCACATGTTGTCCTTTTGCAAGCGAGATGTCTCATTTTGCGGTGCTGGAACGGTGGTCATGACATGGCGCGCTGTTTGCAGGACTTTTTGCAATTCTGTGACTCGGATAGTGACCCTCGCAACAGCATTGCGAGTGGCAACACTTCTGATTGCCAGGCCGAGTCACCACGTCCGGGTCCAACATCGTTGTCAGTCATTCGCGGGCTACATCGCAGTAACACAGGAGGGACAGCCACGTTGCGGCGCATTGTGGTATCTCAACCATCCGACGAGCCCAACGTTACACCTTCGGTGCGACGTCAACCGGAGTTTGTGGCAAGATTGGCAGTTGCACCGCCGCGGCGCCGCGTGATCTCCGATGGTGCCGCGAGCATGCATTCGCTTGCAAGCACACTACGGGACAACTCAAGGTCAAGTTCGAGTGGGACGACTGCCACGCAGATGGACCGTGATACCTCCGCGACTCAAAGTCCCCAAGTGTTGACCCCTCATGGTTCAAACTCGGCCTTGCACGCGGAGAAAGACGCAATAGCACGGCGTTCATCAAATTCCAGACCATTGGGCGCGTCAAGGCCAGGCAGTGGCTCGGCCTCACCGCCGAACCTACAAAAGCAGACCGCACTGAAGCATGAAACTTACATCTAGGCATGGAGTACATTTTTGCTTCTTACTTGTTTGGCTATTTGGCTTGCCTGTCCCTTTCCCCTTTCAATTTTGAGTTGGCAAACGTCAAGCGCTTTGCCCTTTGTTGCTTGTTCTTTTTCAACCCGTGCGTGCTGACAACCCAACTTGTTTGCCGCATTGGCTTCTTCATGTCTATCTAAGCTTTGTGGGACGCGTACAAGGCGACGCAGTATTCTTCTGGACAATCTCGTCTTCCTCCTTTTTTTTTGTTTTTTTTTTTTGTTTCAACTGAGTGAGTGAGAGTGAGTGAGAGAGTGTGTGTGCGCACCCATTCCAACAAACTTGTGCTTGGTCGTCTCAACCCTTGCTTTGATGTGTCAAAGTCGTGTATCATATTTGTAGTTTCACTCTCTCTTTTCTCTGTGTGTGTGTGTGTGTGTGTGTGTGCTGGCTTTCTTCTTTTAACTACACACCGACGCTTTGTGTGGCTCGGATAAATTGGAACCCAAGGTTCACTTGATTGACAGCATTGGGCCATGCGCAGGCCCATTCCATGGACATTACATGAAAAGAGGATTCAATCATCGTGGTTTATGCGTCGGCAGCATCGAAACGGCGTCGCACAGATTCAAACGCCAAAATCCCAGCGGCATTGGCGGGAAAAGCGCGAAGAAGGCAGGGTCCGAGCCCCCGAAAAAGGCCACGAACACCTTCTGCCCGTACTAGACGTTCAGCGCAGTCGCGAAACGTTTCATAACGTCGGCGGGAGGGGCAAAGGGCATCCGCTTGCAGGCGTGTCTGGAGGTCAGATTCAGTTCGGAAAAAAAAAGAAGGAAAACATCAGCGCGAAGTCGTCATTTGTACACAAAGTGGGCCAGCGACAACTGGTTAAAAAGAGCAGAGGGGCGGGTTGCAGGGTGGTGAAACCATACCTTTACAATGTCTATGGGGTAGATCAGGGTCCACGATATCCAGGAAGAGAAGCCACCGCAGAAGAAAACTGAAAGTGAGTCTGATCCCATCCGCGCCTATGCCGGGAAGGTCGACATGACTGTTAGAGGAGAAGGATCAACAGGAAGGAGCTTGACATCTGCCAAGTGGGCGAGTCGAGGGACGCAAGACTGTACAGCAATGCAGCAGAGCTGGTCCTACCTTGAGATATTCATATGGCAGAAACCACGAAGTGGCTCCAACGACTTGGCGCATGGCCGTGGCTTGCATGCCGAGGAAAAATCGTGACCAGCTATGGTGACGAAGAATGTGGGCAGCACATTGGAAGGGGCCTAAGAACGAGCCATGGGCCGTGAGTCAAGATGCACTGCCGCATCCACACGCACAGTTGCGAAAGCAGCCGGGCCTCAGGAGGGCTGGTCACAGTCAAGCAGGCGAGGCGATGAACGTACTCTCGTAGGCACCATGGCGGCGAGCACCACCGGCTTGCTGAAGAATCACGGTCTGGGCTTGGGTCTTAAGGAGGTCCATGGGAGTGCGAACGAAGGTGGTGGTGACGCCGGTGGCTACTGATGCGAGGAGCATGAGGTACCAGGGTGCGGGTTGATGCCGATCAGCAATGCCCAGGGCTCGTCGCGTCTGCATGTACGTGGCGTAGTGCACGCTTGTGTAAAACACACAAAAAGCCAGCGGCGAACCCATGCCCTAAGGTGTGCGGAGATTGGGGGGGGGGGGGGGGGGCAAAGTGAGCAACAGGCAAAAACAAGATGTCCTTGAAGAACAAGGAAGGAGAGAAGACAAAAGACAAGCGGGGCGAGATATTTGGAGGGAGTTGTCACATACACGAAAGAAGCCGCTGAGGCCTTCTTGCTGGAAGGTGGCACGAGCACAAGCCCAGCTTGAGGTGTAGAGGGGGCGCTTGGCAGATTGGGCTTGCATGCGCGTTTTGATGGTGTCGAGGGGATGCCCAACGATTGTAACGGCCATGCCAGCGGCACAACCAGCCACAACATCGCGCCCAAGTTCACGGGTGGGGTCGGGACGAGGCAGAGCATGGGAGGGCGCAGCACCAATGGTGGTGTTGGTGTCGGAGGCAGCCATGGTGGCAGTGGCCGCGGCGGTGGCAGCCGCTACAGCAACAGGCAGAACATTGGGGGAGGCCGGGGCATGTGCGACCAAGGTAGATGCGGCGGCTTTTGAGTCGGTGCTATCCGGGGTCGAGGAACGCGTCGGTCGGGCGAGGCGGGGAAGGCGCCAGCCAACGGTGGGGTAACCATCACGACCAACAGTAAAAAGGCGCATGTCCGATGCAGCGACGGGAATGCGCCGCGTCAACGGGAAGAATCCCAGTGTTTGGACAGCTGGTGGCTGTGAAGGTGATGGGGCAACGGGCTTGGTCGTTTGGATGGGCGAGTCATCCTGCTGGTGCGGGCAGGGGCTGGGCGTTACCAACGGGCGCCAGGTCGATGCTGGCAAGGACGGCGGCGGCGGCTTGGGGTCGGGGTCGGGTTCGAGCGGATCGGCGGTGGTGCCCAGCATGTTGCGGGTGATGGAGCGCCGTGGTGCCGTTTGGTCTCACTACTTGAGCCAACGGCACAGGGGCCACCAATGTCCAGGAAAATCAGCGGGATGTGGTTTGACGCCTGCACAAAGGGCGACGCGGGGGTCAGAGTGCAAGAGCCTTGTGTGTGTGTGTGATCGGAGGCGTGACTGAGTCTTGTCGGCTCCTGCTGGTCTGGAAGCAAGTTGTTTTCAAGTACGACCAACCTGATCAGGGTCACATCGACAGGGGCAAGCAAGCCAAGCACGCAAAGCAAGCGGTGCTCGCGCAGCGTCGGCGTAGAAAAGTGCCACCCGACCGCACACCATCGCATCGGCAGTTGGCTTGGTGTCCTGGGCAACCCCTCGACGACAAGTGCCAATGTTTCTTCAAGAACCAAGCTGGACGACACTTGCAAATCGACAAGAACCCCCATGCCAAGCAACACCTTTGCTCGACTCACTTTGTGTGTGTGTGTGTGTGTGTGTGTGTGCGTGCGTATGTGCATGGTCAAGCGGCTGCCACTCGCTGCCCGTCGCCAGTCAGCGTATCAAACCCTGTCTTTGGGGATCCGAGTCGCCAGTCCAGTTGATCAGTTCGTCACCCATAGACAGAGGTGACCACGGGCCGCGCGCAGCAGGGAGGGAGCGCAAGGCTGTCAAGGCGCGAGCAGGTGTTCCCACCCTCATGGGAGTGTGCAATGCCTGCGTGGCACGCTGGCCTCCCAAAATGACTCCCTCAGAGTTTCCTGAACGCCCATGCTGTGGGACACACAAGGGTCGCTGGACGTGTTGTCAAACTTTAGCCCGTCGTATTCTCATGCCATCTCCCACAGCAGCCCCAATAACTCACGAGCCATCCTCTCGAACCACTCAAGCCAGCCCAGCCAGCCCAGCCCAGCCCAGCCCAGCCCAGCCCGCCCGCGGGCACAGCAGTGTCTGCCCTTTTCAAGTCAAAAAATTTCTGCTTGTGACACACACACACACACACACACACACACACACACACACACACACACACACACACACACACACACACACGCGTTGTGATGGGGGAGGATTGCACCAGAATTGCAACATCCTCTGGGGCGACAGCTGGCGAAGAGAGTCAAAGTCAAATGTCTGAAACAGCTGTTTTAAACAGTGCGACAACCATGACAATTTTTTTTTCCGTTTTTCGTTTTTTTTTATCGTTTTTCGTTTTTCGTTTTTTTTTTTTTTTGGTCTCTCTCGCTCTCTCGCTCTCTCGCTCTACACACACACACACACACACACACACACACACACACACACACACACACACACACACACACACACACACACACACACACACACACACACACACACACACACACACACAGTTCTTTTTAGGGGGCAACGGGCGTATACTCGCGCCGCGCTTGACAGACGCCCCGGTCATCCGATAGAGAGTGACTTCTAGGGTAAAAGGAAGCAAGAGCTACGTCCCTCTGTTCCTTGTCAGCGGGTGCAATGGCGACCACTCCTGTCCCGTTCAAGCACGGTGAGTTCCGTTCACTTTGACGCGACTCTTCGCTCCTCTCTGTCTGGCGTCTGATGCTATAGCCGCAAGGGGCTCATGTGCGTCTGATTCTCACTGGCTGTCGTGCGCTCTTGCTGGCCCATTCGCAGATGCGCTTCAACCTGCGGGTGCCAGTCCCCATTATCGTGGGCCTTGGCGCAAGTGCCTGGCCCAGGAAACACATGGTCGGTCATCTCTCTCTCTCTCTCTCTGCCAGACCCCCAGTGAGCGCGCACCCACCTCAAGTCACCTTGGCGCCCTGCCCCTTCTTTTTATATATCGATAGTCATTTTTACAGCCCTGCAAGCTGACCTTGAACAACTAGGTGCCGACGGTACTGATGAGTACGTAGCCTTGCCTCTTGACCGCTCAAGCTGTGGCCCATCTCACAACCGTCATCTCCTCTGCAGGCCCGCCCGGCTCCAGGCCCTGCTCAGCTACAGTCTGCAGTATCGTGCTGCTCTCCGATCCATTGCTGATAATGTCTTTCAACACGTATGCTCTTCCCTGCCTGATCTGCTCATGCCGCGTGCACGCAACTGTCAACCACAGCCAGAGTACGCCTTGTGCCCAGATTTCTCACGCGCCTCTGGTCCCCCAATTCCCGTGGTCCCCCAACCTTCCGTTGCTGCCCCAGGTCGAAACAACCGCTGGCCTCGCACCTGCCGTCATGGAAGAGGAGGCGCGGCTTGTGCAGGAGTTTGGACACTTGGAAGAAGCTTGGCACCTGTGTGAAATTTTCTTTCCGCGATCCATCCTCATCCAGCAGGCGGGTGGCTTCATCATTCCCCACCTCTTGGAGTGGCTCAACCTTCACTGCACCGGTTCGTATGCTCACCCCTGCTCATTAAAGTCAAGCATCACAGTCTGACACATCTGCCTTGCCGTAAGCTCACGCTGACGATCACCGCCCCCGCACCAAACTCCTAGAGCTGGACCGCGAGCTTAAGAGCATTCTCCAACATCAGACACAGCTTATCGACCAAAATGCGGCCTATTGGACCACGGTTAGGACAATGAATCTTACGCTTGATATTCACTAGACTGGCATATATAGGCTTGGTCGTGCCAAGTCCCGCCTCACGAAAGCTTCTGCCGCTCCTCGTCAGGTCATCAAACTCGTGTTGTGCCAACGGCAACGGGAAGCGTGCCAGCTCTTGCAACTTCACCCAAATTTTCGTCAAAGCGGCGTTGAAGGCCTGATCGGTCGGCTCATTCACGTGATTCAAGAACAACCCCGCTCGGCTGATGCCACCTCACCCTCCACCTTTCAAGCTCGCTTCCTGCAATGGCAGCAAATGGTAGCTGCATGGACAGATCGTTTCGACGCGGTATGCTTTCAGAGAGGCCCATCCTTGTTGGAAATACAACAATCCGTTTGTGGTGCCTTCAACTTTGCTCAAAAGACCGTTTTTTTTTTCCGACTTGATTCTGGCCTTGCTCTACTCCACAGTATCCCCAAGCACAGGAGCTGTGTCGCATTCTTGCCGCGGAGGCAGGCTCCGCCTCATATCTAGCCAAGTCTGTCTACCTCGAATCTCTTCATTCATTCATTTGCTTATTCCTTTGCTCTTACACTTGTGTCGCTTGAGTTATGTTTTTTGCTGCTCGCAACTTGAAACCTCTCTTCAATGGGGCTGATGATACTCGGTGGTGCACAGGTTGTTTCCCAACTGGCTGCATCATGTCATCGTCTATGCACAGTATTGGCGCCCGCTGTGTCGAATCGGAGAGATTGAGGATTTGCTTTTGGTATCGTCGCACGAGCCTCGCTCACCTGCCGCCCCGCACGCGAGTGCCTCACCAGTGCAATGACTTGCGGGCACTCTGCCTTAGGATCTCGGTCTACATGTTGATGAAACAGACTTGTACTTGATCATTTTGCAGCAAGAACCGGAGCAGACCATCCTGTCCCTCCTGTTCGTGGCTGTTGCATTGCCCTTGATGCTGACCCCGAAGCGCCCTCCTCGTTTTTGCTTTTTTTTTTTTTTTTTTTTTCCCTTCTTTTTTTTTTCCTTTCTGATTTGTTTACCCAATCTGTAAACACAGGAGTCACTTTCCAACATTTTGGAGCCCCGCCCATCTGGCCGATCTTTTGCAGCGCTCACGCTGGTTTGGCGCTGCCCCACGCCGCGGCGCCCACAACATGACGCTACGCGAGGTGTGTTGTATCCTCTCGTTTCCCAGCAACTCACTTCAGAGAGAGAGTTGGGTCCCGAATCTTGCATCCCGACGCATCACCACACTCATAGTATCTGTGCTACTTACGATAGCACTACGTTATCTCCTATGCGCTGGAATTGGCGCGAGAAGACACCCTTTGGCCGCTGGCCGCTAGTTATTTGGCAAGGTACCCATTCCTCGAGTCTTGCGTCTGAAACTCCCTTTGCATGTGAGCGGCATCCTTTGATTTTCTCTGGGTTTGCTCACCTCCCTCGACTCAACCATTGCAGCTGTGGCAGCGTTGGCCAGGCCACGTTGGTGGAGGTGCTGGAGTCTCGCCCTCAGCCCTCGCTCTCTGCGGTCCGCAAAAGCATGGCACTGGCTCGCAAGCACGGTCTAGATATCACGGGTGCGTGCTGATCTTTGAAGCAGGTTGCCCAAATTTCAGCTCACGGTCTTCCCACCTCATCGCGCACGCACTTGTATTTCCATGACTGCGGCCATTATCTGCACGCGCAACAGCCAAACGCATTGCCATTTGCGAAGCCAAGCGCCGACAGAATTCGGGGCAGTTGGATGTAGCTGTTCAATACTTTTTCGAGGCCGGCGATTTGGACGCCGTCACGCGGTAAATTCAATCAGTTGTCAACCCAGCGTGTCGGTGAGCCTGGTTTCAAGGCCGCGCCATAACTAAACATACCTTTTTAAATTAGGATTGCGGACGCCATGCTGCGCACCTACGCAGCCACCGGTGAATTGGACCCCACAGACTTGGCGCAACGCTTAGGACCTGCTGTGCTGCAGAGCGAGCGCCTCACTTTCATTGGTATGCTTTTGTCCCTTTGAAACTTGAGGCCAGTCCAGTCCAGCTAGCTTAGAGCCTTGTGAGCTTTTCCTCATGGCACGTTGTTGACCACCTAGCCAAATATAAGGAAGCTTTGGCTCTCATTGCCGAGATGCACTACGAACAAGCAGCCAACATCCTCATTAATGTGCTGTCAAAGTCCACCATGGCTCCTCGATGGTTCGTACACCTGGCAAACGAAGCAGAATGGCTTGCTTGTTACCATTTTGTTTGCCACGATCTTCTTGCTGGTTTGGGCATCACTTTGCGGGCCTGAGTTTGCGTGCTCTCCGCTCGTTCAATGCTTTTTTTCGTTTTTCTTAATACTGGTGCCCCTCGTCTGGCATCGCGTGGGCTTGCGTTGCAGGTTGCACTTGCATGTTTTATTGGACATGCTTCCCATTTTGGAGCAGCCAGATATTGTCTTTGACGCTGAGCAGGTGTGAACCCTTTGCGGGTCTTCTTTTTTGCACGACTTGCAACGTCTCACCGACTCGACTCTTTTTTTTTTTTTTTGGGAACTTGTAGACGCAAACTTTGATGCAATGCCTTCAAGAAGTCGAGCTCTCCCATAACTTGCGTGAATACACCCGCTACCTCTTGGCAAAACAGCCTTGCCACGGAGAGGAGGGAGAGAAGCTGGACGAAGATTGGGATAAGATCCCCCTCGATCAGCTTCGCACGCAGCTTGCCACCCTTCTTGAGCCGCTGCGCTTGGCCCTTGCACGTAACTTGGCGCGTGCCCTCGTGGTCTCCCGGTGAGGTTTGGCATCAAAATTTCTTCACATCTTAGTGTGATGTTTGCCCGTCCCCACCCACAGTGATGACTTTTGCGACACGTCGAAATTGAGGCTTGTCGTTGCCTTCTCCCATCAAACGCATAATGTTACCAAGCGATTGCGGCGCGCGATTGCGGTTGAGTCTTTTTCAAGTTGAATTGTTTCATTGCCAAGCGGATTTTTTTTTTTTTCCACACAAGTCGAAGCGCATTTACCCGCATGAGTCATGGAAGACAAAGGGCTGCGCGAAAGGGGATCTCAATCGTCGTTGGTGACAAGGTCATCTTCTTGCACACCAGCAAGGGTTGCCGCCACGACGCGACCACGGGCATAAATGTATGTTTTGCCGTCAGCCTCCCGACCTTGAAAGAGGAAGGCCAGCGAGGGTAGAGAGGTTGTGGTGGCCTGCGATCCATCTTCCAAAGCATTCTCCGGTGGCGGTGGCTGGAGGCGAACCAGGACTCGGCAATTGCTTACGCGGATTGAACATTCACGCAGATAGTCAATGGCCATGGCATCCACCTACATATGAGGGCAACATGAATGGGTAAGCCGATATCGAGTGGGCGCGCGAGGGGGGAGCGGTGGCGAGGGCATGAAACGTACATCGCGCGCGCCAAAGGGTACGTGGGCCAGCTCGCGGACAATTTCCAGGGCATCCTCGAAGAACCGCACGTAGCTGACGTTGTTGACGTGGTGATTCCAGTCCTCATCACTGGGTCGGAGCAAAACTGGCATGGCAAAATAATCGACACCATCGCTTGTGACGAGGCTCAACTGGGTGACGGGAACGGCCGAGGCGCGTGGATTAATGGCTCCCTCCGAAGTGGGGACGCTATCCATCTCGATGCTTAAGAGACTAGACGCATAGTCGGAATCACGACGGCGTCGGCTATCTTCGAGCATGCGTGCCTCTTGGGCGGCGCTGGCAATGCGTCGAAAGTTTGGGGGCAAAGGTAGTTTTTCACCTGGAGCACGTACAGCCACACAAACCACGACGGCGGTGGCCAGCAGCACACGCTTGCCCGGTTGTTCACAGTAAATGGAGTATAGGTATTCAAACGACGAGTTGCCCAGGTTGCCGATGGACTGAGACACGCGCACCTCGAGCGGCTCGAAGAGGTGCCGAAGCCGGTGGTGAAAGCGCAACGACTGAGCCTTGATGACGTATCGACCTCCCAGAAGCTCATGAATGGCCTCGCGGTTTCCAGCCAACCGTGTTTCCATGCAAAGCTCAAAGAGGATGCTGGGGGCAATGGCTGTGTTGCGGTCGCGGCGGCCGCGCCCAATGGTAAAATCCTTCACCATGGCCAAGCGTGCATCAGGCATGGCACTGGATGGTGCGGCTGTATCTTCCATGCTGTGTGGTATCGGGGCCAGCGGAGGCTAGAGCGAATTTTTTACAAAACGTGAACCAGTGTCAGGGATGACAGGTGGCCACAAGGAACATCCAAGACAGCGTCGTGGCTCTATGGCAGGGCCTGGACAAATGCTGCGCGGGGGAAAATCAACCCTGATTGGCGTGCTATCCGTTTTATGGGCATGACTCACCAGCGGCGCAAGAAAGTGCTAGAAAGGGCTTGAATGTTCAAGGAGAAACACGGGTCGTGCACGTCATACGTCAATCAGTGGGTCTGCGCGTGAAGCAAAAGACAGCGGGCAGAGTAGGCACGCAGCAGCAGCGACCATAGTGAGCAAGGACGACTCCATGATCTGACTGTGACAACGTGCGACAAGCAGCAGCCAGCAGCCCAGCCCCGACACGGCCTTTGAGCGGTGTTGACAGACATTTCAGGGCGCTTCTCGTGCGTGCTTGCACCACATAAAGCACACACACCGCCGGCTGCCATTCACTACCTGCGCACACGAAGAGAGAAATGTGAGAGAGAGAGTGTGTGTGTGTGAGAGAGAGACAGAGTGAGTGAGAGAGAGAGAGAGAGCAGAGAGCAGACACAGAGACAGACACAGACACAGACGCAGATGTAGATGATTCTCGAATTCACTGGCTCCAACGTTGCTGACGCAATGGTAGTAAAACGCTGACAATGTTGCAACACACACACGCACACACACACACACACTCTGTCTCTGTCTGTCTCTGTCTCTCTCTCTCTCTCTCTCTCTCTCTCTCTCTCTGTCTCTCTCTCTCTGTCTCTCTCTGTCTCTCTCTCTGTCTCTCTCTCTCTCTCTGTCTGTCTCTCTCTCTCTCTCTCTCTCTCTCTCTCTCTCTGTCTCTCTCTCTGTCTCTCTCTCTGTCTCTCTGTCTCTCTCTGTCTCTCTGTCTCTCTCTGTCTGTCTCTCTCTGTCTCTCTCTCTGTCTCTCTCTCTCTCTCTCTCTGTCTCTCTCTCTCTGTCTCTCTCTGTCTCTCTCTGTCTCTGTCTCTCTCTGTCTCTCTCTGTCTCTCTGTCTCTCTCTGTCTCTCTGTCTCTCTGTCTCTCTGTCTCTCTGTCTCTCTGTCTCTCTCTCTCTCTCTTCACACACTGTTCAAGCCGAAAACTTGTGTCTTGATCTGGATATGGGATGGATTGGTTGGTCAGGCGAGAAGAACAGTGGCCAGTTTGCAAGCATCGATTGTCACATTAAGCACAATGCCGCTCAGCGGTGTGCACGTCAGGGTTCAAGCCTCGGTCTTGGTCTTGGTCTTTGATCCGGGCTTGGACTTGGAGATGTGGGCTAAGCGCAAACGCTGCACCAGACTTTGTTGGAGAAGGACTAGGCTTTTAAGGTTGAGGTGCTGCATGCCCAAGGGGATGATTTCCGGTACACATTGGCCCCGGTTCTCCACCTCCTGCAAGCACCAAACGGGGTGAGAGCCTCAACAAGATGGAAGCTATCAGCGCGTAATTCCACCAAAAAACACACCATCAGCGTGTGGTGAATTCGACGCGCGAGCTCCACACGGGGCACCAAGTCACATTTGTTGAGAATGATCTGGTACCGGGCATGACAGCTGCACGCAATCCAGCGCACATGGTACATGCAAATGAGCAGAAGAGTTCAAAGCCCAGCTCTGCAGGTGAGGAGGAAACTGACTTTCGATCCAGATAATCCATAAAGTCGCGGTCATTTTGCTTGATGCCGTGTCGCGCATCTATGGCGCCCATCAGCACGCACCACTCATCAGACTTGGCGTGTAGTCGAGGACACGGGGTGAGTCACGCCTCTGGCTTTTTTTTTTCGTCGGGGTGAAGCCAAGCGCACCGAGAACTAGGTACACGAGCTCAAGCTCGGTGCGATCTTGCAAGTAGGCCCGAATCTGCACCGGGTAAAGGGTCAGCGCGACACGATGCAAATGTTCTGCAAGCGGCTACAATGGTTGACACCATCAACTAACCGCGTCCTGCCACAGGGACTGCTTGGCCTCGTTGGCAAAGGCAAAGCCGTAGCCTGGAAAATCAACAACTCGAGCTTGATCTGTTACTCGGTAGAAGTTGATACTCTGTTCACCAAGGGTGCGGCCTTGAGCATGACAAGCCAGCCCGAAGCAAAGTGAGAGCAGGGAAAGGATGGCGGTACAAACCTGTGTAACACCAGGTTTATTGCGGCTACGTGCTGGGCTGGACTTTGTCAGCAAGTTGATGAGTCTAAAGACAACGCCATCAGACAACCACGCGAGCTCGGGGTGAGAAGCGTCGAACCCGTCCACAACCAGCCATGCACCCAAACAATCACACGGACGTCGATTTTCCCACGTTGGAGCGACCAGCAAAAGCCACCTAGGCAGCCAGCAACTTGCACCAATGAGATCGATGGATAGAAATGGCGCGACCATGACTCCTGAGCAGCCCCCTCCCCCTCCCCCCAAAGGGAAGCCTTATGAAGAGAACGCTCAAAGGAACCAACAGCCGACCTCAAAAACAGGCTTGTCGGAAGCGGGCAAGAAAGACGCTGGCGTGGTTGCAGCACCCAGAAAGTTGAGGCGTCGAGACCTGCCATGAACATTGAGTGTATGAGATGAATACACATGCATGCACATGAGATCGCAGGTCGGTGAGTTCTATGTGACTCGGGGGGGTTTTTTTTTTGAACACACAGCTCACCGAAAAAACTGTTCTGCTTCTTTGTGCGAAGCATTCAGGTAGTCATCCCTGGTTTTGACGTTGAGTTGCTGCTTGCTACCACGCTCACCCGGTGGCACACGGCCAAGCTAGTCATAGCGAGAGCAGGGAATTTGGGCCACATTAAACAGTGGAGCCAAGGAAGTGATCTGAGCGGCCTCCAGCGACGACTCGCTGGCCAGGAAGACGTACGCCAAAGGCATCCAGCTTGGCCAAGAGCGCCGGTTGGATGGGTGTGGCATTGAACTTTTGGCGGTTGGAGGCCACATGGGCTGCGGCCCGCATCCAGGTCTGTCGAAATCCGGCCTGTGCACCCACGCTAAAAGGGTTGCTGTTTGCGTGCACCGGAGTCTCCGCCATGATGCGCTGCTCAAATTCCATGCGACTGAGCCCAAGAGCATCCTCGGCGTCAGCCTTGGGCGGCGGCGTCCTCGGCCGTTTGCTCTGTTTGGCAGGTGCGTTCAATGGTTCATGGGCCTTTTCAAGCAAACCCTGCATGGTTGCGGGCCGGGCATATGCCCGTCGCACAAGACTTCTGCCCCAAACAACTGGCACCATCCCGCATCTCATGCCGCCGTTCGTCGCCAGAAAAAAAGTGTGTGTGTGTGTGTGTGTGTGTGTGTGTGTGTGTGTGTGTGTGTTGAAAAAAAAAAAAAAGAACCATGTGCGGAAGAGTGACAGTTGACACACTATTAAAACTCATGTTGTTTTTCTGACATTTCACACAAGAGAAGGGGTGGTTTAAGCAAGTGGCTTTTGGTCGTGTACATCCTGCTGCACCTCTTGGGAATGAGAAGCAAAAGCTGTCTATGGCTTCAAAGGAAATGTTGGGCCCGACAAGATGAGGTTCAGCTTCCTATCTCAGCCTCGTTTCTGACAGCCAGACTCTGTTTGAGATCTGTTCATCATTGCATCTCAGCGCAGCTTCGTTTACTTGAGTTGCTGCACATCATCAAGGCCATCGATCGCATCATCGGCAAAGATACCAAAACAACAATTGGAGACAACAGCGCAAGCTACGATCACACTTCGAAAGGGAGGACCGGAAGCTAGAAAGTATCAATCAAGCTCTTCTGTCCCTCTCGGTTCGTGTTGTCTGTGTCGGTCTGTCTCGCTGTGTCTTGCCAGAGGGGCTGGCGTCATGACAAGATGGATCAAGAGCAGGATACATTTGAGTTGTGGCGTGCGCGTCATGACATGTTCGTGCCAATCGATGCAACTTGAACGAGCTCACGCCACTCTCAAGTGCAAACTTGATATGGGGTAGGCGTGGGTGTGCACCCAGGTTGAAGGCAAGCCAACAACGTACAAAGCCCACACTCAAGTCAATGACAGACAAGCTTCTCATAGGCCCAGTATGGCCTCGATATCCTCTCGAGACCCCTACGTCATCCCCTGACGTCTCCACGGAGACGAAATGGTCAACTTGGGCGAGGTCGTGAAATTTTTAGTCAACTTGGGAAGAGTTGACATTGCGCCTCATTCGTCATCCCCATGTAGTATGTACGGGGTGCTTCTCCAAAACCACGTCCACCCAGCCCAGCGGCACATGTGCCAAAGCAGCATTGAGCTGCTCCGAATACACCTTTTGTGATGCTTGCACGTCCGGACTGGTCCGTCCGTCTGGTTCCGTTCGCGACCGGCATACCTGTTGGAGTGTCCAACCCATTCTTTGCCGGCTCTGAATCATGGCGTGATTGCGCGACACAATGATATCAGGGTCGACACGACGCACTTTGTTGATGATGAGTCCAGTAAGTGTCGTGATGCCTTCTTCCATGAATGGACCAGACCAAGAGGCATCGGTGTATCATGATCTTGTGACGACGGCATTGGTCGGAGGCTGCGCGCGACAGGCTGGCGGGGTCAACCCCAAAAGATGATGGCTTTACTTGACCAATCCACTTGTCCATCCAACCTGCAAAGGAAACAAAGCTCTACACAGCCAGTGACCGACGCACAGCGCCTGCCAAACTTGACGTCCGCGCGAGTCCAGTGCAAGCAAGACACGACTAACCATCCCCCTCAACCTCGCTTTCCCCTTATTTCTCGTGCAGTGTGACCTTTGGAAAGTGTGATTGGTACCTACAGATTGTCCATTCACCCTTTTTACCCTTTTGTCCACCCTTTTCACCCTACCTTTACCCTTTCGAGGCCACAAGCCCACAACCACCCCACAACCACCCCACACGCACCCATCTGTCTTCGGCATATGCCAGACACCCACACCGACAGACAGGGAGAACAAAAGGACGTATGCTGCTGTCTCAGGCAGACTGTCTTGCTCTCTCCGTCGCTCGCTTCGTCTCTGTCCCTCCTCTCTTTCTCTGTCCTTCTCTCTCCGACTGCACGCTTTTGCGAACAAAATACTCCATGCCCTACCGTCCCTCTCTGTCCCTCTCTGCTCTTGGCCTTCTCCATCCCTCTCCCAAGCTCTCTCCCCCACCCTCGCTTCCACACCCTGTGTAAACGTCGATCAAGGTGGTGCATTTTCTTGGAACTACTCGCCCTCAAGTGTAACTGAGCCTTTCCCACTTTCCCACAGTAGTCATCCCTGTGGTGCCACAAACGACGCGCTCACCCCCTGCCTGCGACTGCGCCTGCGCCTGACGGCTACCTGCTTCTGCCCTTGAGCCGACCTCGTGCATTTGTCCCGCTGCAGCCAAGCGCCAAAGGGCTTCCCTGATGCCATTGGAATACGGGTTGCCCTCGACAGTGCCGCTGCCATTTGGCCCGTATCAACAAAAATCACTTCTTGTTGTGGTTTCGATCAACGCCCACTTGTTTTGATTTATCTTTTCTCTTGTGAAGCAGACGGCCCGACTCGGCGGCGCGCCTCAAGCCCGTCTTCGTGAGATCTTTGAACCTTGGCCGTCAGTTGTTTGGACGGCCGCAACACACCAGCCTTTGTCTGCAACCTGGTGAACCACAACAACACGGCCACCGACACGGTCACCACCGGCATCATGATGGCCTCACACAGCTGCACAGCATCCTTGGAGCGAATCGCCACACGCCCTGCGGAGCAAGATTTCCTCAAAGCTCTGCCCGAGTCCAATCACAGCAGCAACCAGCCGGCTGTCAAACCACGCTCTGCCTCCATGAGCGCCAGCCGAAGACCACCCAGCAAGCTTCGACATTGCCAATCAGTCTCAACCCCCGTCACGGCCACGGCGCCTTCCTACCGCCCCAAGTCGTACAGTCTGTCCCAACTTGATGTGATGACAGCCGTTGCCACCATTCAGGCCAAGCGCGAGGGGGCATCCCCCTTCCCCGTCCTTTACGCCTTTGACATGAGCCGTATCATGCAGCGCCTCCGAGCATGGCCCGAGCCCTTGCAACGCAACATTCGCTCCCTCATCGACGGTGTACATGGCCTCGAAGATGGTGCCAACCTGGCACTCCGACAGCGCTACCTCCACAACCGGGATACCCAGGGCGCCGCCACGCCCCCCACCTGTGACGAAGATCGCCGCATCGCCCTGGCCGCACGGGATCAACTCCACAGCAACCTCGTCGATCTCGGATTTCGCCTCCTCAGCAAGCTCCAAAGCCGCCAGATTGACATTCTTCGAGCCATCAATGACATGTGCGATCGGGATCGCTACGAGACCCAAGGCCTAGCCCGTGCCGACATTGATCTGCTTTTTGACAGCCTCAAGCACCACTATGCTCAACAACGGGAAGGCTGGGCCTCCTTTGATCGCAAATACTTTGCCATGTCTCGCACTCTCGGCACCCCCGAAACGGCCTGTTAAAGACCAAACACCTCCCATTGACCACCTGACCTAACCGCCTCCAATCTGACCGCCACTTCTTCTATTGGTTTCTTTTCTTCTTTTGACTGACTCTTACTTCAAATCGGGCCTTTTGACACTTCGAATGACGCATCACTTTGACAATACGGCAACCAAGCCGCTTGCCAATCGCCTGGCCGTTTCCTACTGGCTTGGAGCACCCCCATATCTTGAGTTGCCCTCTTGCTTTTCTTTTCTTTTTTTCCAACTTTTTCTTGAGTTTTCTTTTTTTCCTTTTCTTTTTGAGTTTCATTTTGAGTTTTCACGCCATCGAGGGCGTAGCCGAGATGCAGATTTGCAAGCTGGCCATGTCTCTGGCGCGCTGCTTGCAATCCATCGTCTCTTCTGATACGCTGTCTGACCTACCCTGTGTTTGTATGGACTTACAAGAGCAATCCGAGCTGAATAAACAAACAAACTGCCCTTTTGCGTTTTTCCCTTGTCGGGCCTGGGGCCCTGTTACGCAAGGGCCATTCTGATGGCCGTCTCTCTTGACATTGGGAACACTAATTTTGCCTGTATATGAAATTGACTTGTCAATAATCAAACTTTTAAAAGTGCGCTACATTACGACGTGCAAGCTCGATCAATTTTGATCGACAAAAGGCTGAAGAATCCTGTGACAGAGGTGAATCAGACTACGAAGCATCATCACCAGCCGTCACGACAATGTGGCGGGCTGAACCCTGTTCGTGGCTGGCACTGCTTAAGCCGGCCTGACTGGCCAAGGCATGCACAACTTTACGCTGTCGCGGGGTCAGCTCGGCTGGGAAGGCGAACGGCAAGGCAGCACGATCCACTGTGGCCAACTGAACCACACGCTCCTGAAGGCGTCGATCCGTCCAAGGCACCGACTGTGAGCTTGGCTTGGTTGCTTCGCCGTCCTGGCCAGCAACGAGGCCCGAGTCCGGGCTCGCCCACAAAATGCGGTCTGCCAGTGAAGAATCACAGATGCACATGGACAAGCCAGCTGACACGAAGAAGGAGAGCTCGGTGGGAAGCACTTTCTCGAGCTGGAACCGATATGCGGCACCATGGATCGTCGGTACATAGACGCTGTATAGGGCGTGGGGGTCAGTGGCGTTGAAAGGACGAGAAACCACGGCGGCCTCGGTTTGCCGCGTGAATGCGCGATTGATTTGCTGCATGCGCGCCTGCAGGTACACGCCACACGCCCAAGTCAGGTGTGCATCGCCCTGGGCCTGCACCACCACGGTATGCATTTCCTGAGCCACCAGATCCAAAGCGCAAAAATTGTCGACACCAGCGTGAGGAACAGCAAATGAAGCGAGGCATGCTAAGCGAGAGCAGTTGGCTGAGACAAGTATCGTACCGCAACGCGAGCGTTACCAAAAGCGCCGAGTGCTGCTCGATGGAGTGTCAGATCTGAGGAATACAGATTCTCTTTGAGATGCGTCTTGATCAGCTGGGCAGCGGCCACCACGTCGGCGGTGTGGATGGCGTTGAAACTTGGGCCCCATTGCCCAGCCATCACCTCAGGGTCTTGAGCACACATGTCCTGCACGGTGGCAAACACGAGTGCTTCCACCGACTGAAACAGACTGGGGTGGTGCTGCAGCAAGGTTTGACGCTTCAACAGTGCTTGGCGCAGCAGCAAGGAGAGGTGAAAAGACTTCAAGCTACCCGAGTCCTTGCCATACAGCTTGGCGAGAGTGAACAAGTGGCGCAGGGCCAGAAGTGATGCGGTCACCACATGTGGTGCTTTCACAAACTGCGCAAAGTCTGCTGCTGAGCAGTTACTCAGTAGAACGCCGTCAAGTGCAGCGCGTGAAGGTGCATCCATGATACGCATGTGCCGGGATAGATTCCGTGTGGTCTGCCAGTCCACATCCGCATCGACGGCGCTCGGTACCACTGCTACAGTCTATTCAGAAAGAAGACCAGCGTCGACATTAAGAGTGTGCGCATCTGATCCACGACCCTGAGGCGACCACAAGAGCCAGACCCGAGCGGAGGTGCATGGCGTACCAGGTCGAGTTCAACAGCAAACCCGTTGGGCATGCGAAGACGAAGAGCAAGGCGTGGGCAGCGAACGCTGTCACCAAAGTGTACATCAGCCACGCCGCGACGCATCAACTCGCGCTGCACGCTGCGCAAGACAGCACGGGGTGGGGGAGACTGGTTGCCCGCAGAGCAGCGGACGATAATACACGCATCCACGTCGCCTCGCACTTCCCAACGATAGGAACCTGAGCAGCATAGTTGTCCAAAAATTGGCATCAAAAGGCAAGAGCACAAAGACATACTGGCAGACGCCGTGAAACAGGCACGTACCGTATGTCACCAGATCCAAAAGCTCCAAGTTTGCATGGTCTTGGGCCAAAGCAGCTTTGATGACGCCACGGGCCCAGCTCAAGGCAGCTTGACGCGCATTCATCTCGTCCGGGCTAACGAGCCATCCGCAATCAGCGATGAAAGTACCCAAGGGGTCATTACGCGTCAGTTGATGAGCTGCCGGTGTGGTTGCAACGGCACCCCAGCACGTATTGCTGTCTCGCAGTATCAGTTGAAAAGGGCGAGCCACACCAGGCACGGTGCCATTGGCTGCATGGGCCACATGCTGTGCAAGCGCCTGCAAAACGGTGTGATCGTCGTCAAAGACCACTACACGCTGAATGTCCGGATGAGCCTGCAACTCGGCCAAAACAACCTGCCACTTGTGCTGGGCTGTCGAGCGTTGCTCCAAGGGTTGGCAATAAAGTTGGTGTGGCGCTTGTTCAAAGGCTGCCAGCAGCTGGCTGACATTGTCAGCGACAGACGTGACGCGACCAGTCGCAACGACGGTGCGCACATTGTGCCGCTGGCAGCTCTGCTGAAAAAGGGCAGCGCAAGGTCCGGGAAAGATGGGTAGGCCCAAGCGCAGGGAGTCTCCATGTCGACGCCAGCCGTGCTGTGGCCACCTCTCTCCTGTAAGCTGCGCATGCACAAGGAAGCGGGCGGGGAATTTAGGAATATGAGAGAAGGAAAAAAAATTGAGGGACAATCTCAACACAACGCAGACACGTCGCACATCTTGGCAGGCATTGCCGTTGCCACCGCGATGCAAAGGCTAGAAGCGTGGGACAGAGCAATTCAAAGCCAAAGTGGCATAAAAATGGTACGCACCCTAAACCAGGCGGCTTGGCCCTCGGACTCGCCCGGCGTCAAGAGCAAGGTATTGTCGAAATCATACAAGTGCAGCTCGGTGGTTCGGGCGGTCAGTGCGGTTGGGGGTGTCGGTGTCAATGCGCCTTGGTGCAGCAGGTCTGCGTAGACTGCAGCTTTGGTGATGACGCGCCGGGACACGAGCCCGATACCGACAACACCCTCGAGCTCCAGGGACGTGTCCAGGGGCGTGAGATTGCACTGAGCTTGCTGCAAAAGCTCATTAGAGTATGCGGCTGAAACTTGAGGGGCTGTACTCAGGGTGATATGGGCGACGGCATTATGTGACTGCAAGGTGGTATCACGCGGGGCTGAAGGTGCACCATCATCCTCCGCTGTGCGAGTGTCATCCTCGTCAGTACCGGGGACCACTTCAACGGCGACAGCTTGGCCCCGCTCATCGCTGGCGTGGCCCAGGACGCGCAAACGAACCCGGCGGCCAACCGGAAGAGCAATGAGGTGGCTCTCACTGGGCTCGAAGCAGAGTGTCATGTGGTGGTAATATTCTTGCGAATGAAGGGGTGGGCAGGCTCCACGCAAGGCTGACACAGCCTCTGGTGTGAGAAAGACGGCCGAGTAGGACGGAGCATCTGCGTTGTGCAGCTCAAGCTGAGCCATACCCAGGCTGTCCGTAATGGGTGTCATGTCTAACCGAGTATCTGCCTGGCGTTGCTGGTTGGGCGGGGTGTACGGCCAGGTGTCAATAACAATGGCTTCGGAGTGATTGTGCCAACGATTCAGCATTCGATAGTAATGGTCCACCTTGACGTTGTGCTGATTGCGTGCGGCAAACTGAGCCACTGAGTCAGACCCATAGCACGCCAACTCCAGCACTCGCACCCTACATGATAGATCAGTTTGTCACCACCACAGTAGGCGCTCGTGAGCCGCAAACAGCGGGAAGACGGGGGGTAAGGTGCATGCAACAGGGCCAGGTGTTTTCACAACGGGCGACTGAAACGTACGCATAATCATGAGCAGCCGCCTGCTCGAGGAAGAATGCAAATTCATCGAGCGCACAATTTGTGTTGTCGACGACCACCAACGGCTCATGAGCAGCCAAGGCGGCTTGAAATCTTGCCTTGCATTGGCTATGGGCCTCGCCGAGCTGAGCACGGGAGAAAGCATAGGTTCCGTCTGGTTTTTCAAAAAAGTGATCTGCAGAGCAGATCACGGGGGTACAGTCGGCCGTGGCAGCTAGCTGAAGCAAGCGATCACATAGGAAGGATTTGCCCGCCCCTGGTAGGCCTCGGAGTACCATAACTGTCGGCCCGCGCAGAGCTGGCTGGATGAGGTCCAAGGCCTCATCCATGCTCACCACGGGCCGGGCGCTCATGGGCACGCCTGTCGCGACTTGATAAAAGCCATCAGGGGTTCGGTCCGGCGTCATGCGACAGAGATAAATAGCCTACAACAAGGGCACGTGGGTGAAGAGGATACATGTGAGAGCATTGAGGACTGAGCAGTTGCAAGCTTGCCATTCTGGCGACCAGCAAACAAAAGCCCGTGCCGTCTGGATGTGTGCGATGACTTACGTTCGCTTTAATAAAACCCCAGCCCGCGGCAGGCTTGAGTGGCTCAACCCCGGCAATATCGGCTGCCTGCACGCTGGCACCCTGTGCACAAAACGAGAAAGGCGTCAGTTGAGGAGGATTGCGACCTTAAGCCACTGCGGCTTCATGTGTGCACTTTTCAACATACCTGCCGAGCAGCAGCCCGTTTGACGTTGATCAAAGTAATGTGAGGTGTATAGTCTGAACGTGTCCCGACGAGAGAGACGCCAGCGCTGCTGAGGCGGTCGACCAGGAAATCATGCAGCTGCTGAAGCTTTGCCACAGAGTCCTCCTCAAACTCAAGGTGCAAGATTCGAGAGCCAAACAAGGCTGGACCCTTGAGCTTCAAGTGCGTGTGCGGAGGCAGAACTTGTCCCACTTCATCCCTGAGCAAAGCATGAGCGAAGCAGAGCGACTCCTGTGAGATGAAGCGGGGGCCAACAAACGCGAAGAAGGTGCTTTCATGCATTGCGACGTACCTCAAGTTGTGCAAAACTTGTGTCGCACGACAGATGTCCGAGGTACTTTCCAGACGTAGGGTGGGCAATGTGACGTGAAGTGCTGCCAAATAGAACGCAAGGCGTTATGAGCTGCAGCAGTGCCTTTAGCTCAAATGGCTTGTGACTAGGCAGGGAGTGTGGGTGGGGGGGGGATACCTGGGGCAGGGATGCAGCAGTCGACAAGTTCGGGGTGGTTATCCAGGACGCGCTGTTGAAGGGCCTCGGCTTGCTTACGGACGCTTGTGCTCCAAACGCGAATGCATAGAAAGTAGTTGGGTCGATCCCGCGCCTCCTTTGACTGCGATTGCATGGGAAGCCGCATTGATGTGGGGTTGGCGGCGATGGGAGCAGCAGAGGCCGCAGCTGCAGGCGGGGGGTTAGCAACGATTGTCGGGACATTGGCATCACTGTCTTCGTCGCGGTCGTTGTTATCGGCAGCGTCAACTTGACCCGCCTCGTCGTCTTGCAGCTGAGCATGGTGGCGCTCATCGACGGCAGTGACAAACTCGGGCAGCTTGGTGCCGTCGCTAGAGCCAAAGACGTAGTCCAAGCGTGTGCGTCGATCCCACATCAGCTCATCGCGGTATTTAAAGTAAACGATGCGATGACGGGGAATGGCCACGGCCATGTGGCTGAGGGTGCCGAGATCATCGGCCCAGTTGAAATCGTCAAAGGCACGCTCCTGAATGCCAGTGAAGCGATCCTCGTAGCCCACGGTGACAAGGTGGGTGGGCACGACGGCGTCCCACTGCACTCGCTGAATCACGTCTTGAGCAGGACGCAAGAAGTTGGTTGGGCCTCGAGCATTGGCCGTCACGGCTGGGACTTGCGGTGGGCTCTGGCGAGGGGAGCGTCGATGGGTGGGTGTAGGGATACCATGATCGCTCTGATCGCTGTCCTCATCGCCGTTGCTCAAAGGTGGTGATGCACGGCTGGCGCCGGCTTTGTTGTTACGGCGGCGAGAGCGACGAGGTGCTTCGTCGTACATGGCCGCAAGTTGTTCAGGGGTGACCGCCATGATCTTGGGTCACAGTCAACCAGCAGCGTCAACAAACCAGAAGAAGGAAGGGAAGAAGAGGATCAAGGAGATGACACAGAGGCGGGGCCTCAATCAGGCTCCAGGTCAGTCGAGCAGTCGAGGGCAGCACCGGAAGGGCAAGGTCGACAGATAGAAAAGACCGTGTCTCTTGACAATTGGCTATCCGATGATTGTGAAGCACAAGTAGAAAAATGCCAGCCAGACCAGCACATCCACCTCGTAAAGCCACCCCAGACCAGCACATCCACCTCGTAAAGCCTCCCCAGACCAGAGTGTAGCGCAGTGTCCGCGAGTCGTGCGCCAAGTCGTGCGCCAGTGAGTCGAGTGATGTCAATGTGTGTGTATATCCTAAAGGGGGGCGGTTGCATCATCTCTTGTCCCGCGTTGGCCACGGTCGAGTGGTTATGACACACACACACTCACACGGTGGTGATTTTGTCTTACGTTTTTCTGGGGGGAGATGGCTCTGGCGCTGGCTCTGTTTCTCTTAATATCTCTGTATCTGCTTATTTCTTCTACACATTCGTCACAAATTAGGCAGTCCCTGGCCCTTTCTCTCTCAACTCTCCTCGCTCTTCACACACACTCTCTCATTGGCCCTTGGAGGTCATGGCGAGGTTACACCGAGGTTGTGAGGGGTGTTGAACACACACACACATGTCAGATTTTATTGTCAGAATTACAAGCGGTAGCGGTGCATTTGCGCCGACTCTCTCTCTCTCTCTCCGTCGCGCCGATCGATGACTTGGCTTCCCGTCAGCCGGAAGCGGGGGAATACTGGTGCCACAGTCGGGGGAGGGGAGTTATCATACTGGTCGTTGTGACACTCTTTGGGTGACGGTGCGATGAAGGCGGCACGCATCAAAGTAAAGCCCGTGGCCATGGTGCTTGGCCTCTTCGCGGGAGCCATCCTCTTTCTCGTCTGGAGTTCACACCCGTCGCATTCAGTACCTGCGGATACTCAGGTCTCGGGGTAAGCCCATCACCCAGTCGGTCCCCAGGGTTGACTTGCTTTGGCTCTGAATCGATCTCTCGATCTCTCTCATTGTACCAATTGCCTGCTTCATGTGCTAATGCGTGCAGTGTTGCTCCACATGCGCCGCCGGTAAGATCTCAGCTCATCAGCTTACCTCGACAGTCTCGACAGCGCACCCCTGAGTGCCTTGGCTTTCCTGCGGAACAATGTCTTTTGCTAATAGGCCCCCGCAGCCCCCAGTGGCTACGACTTTATCAACAATCTTTTTGAAAAAGATCCGGTAGGCCCAGAGCTTGCTCACTTGTGTATCGTGCTTTTTTTTTTTTTCAAGCTGATCTCAATCGCGACACGTCCTCTGTTTTTTTTTCCACTGAGCCAGGAGCTACGGCAGCGCGCGCACGAGCTTGAAAAGGCCAACACTGAATTAGCAGAAGCCCTGGAGACGCTTGAGGGCCATCGGCGCGAGATGGCTGGTCTCAACGCAGAAATCGAAACCATGAACCGGCGTCGAGACCAAGCCCGAAAGTACGTTCTGTCCTGCAGATTGCTTCTCCCTGGCCATTCGTCAAGTTGTTTTTCCGCTAATGTCATCGGCTCATTGCTATACTTCCGATTGAACAGGCAGCTATTTGAGCTGCAAGACCATGATAAGCATCCAAAACTGCCTGGCGTGGTACCCCCAGCGCAGCACCATGAACTTCACGGTACTGCACTTCCTCAGTCGCCACCTCAATCACACATCAGTCTCCAGCTACACACACAAACAAACAAACACACGCGCGCGCGGACACTCAACACCTGGCTTGCTCTTCGTCACAGCCAAAGCCGACATTTATGCAGACTTGCGCCGAGAAGCTCTCGCTCAAGCCCAAGGCTTGTCCAAGGACGAAGTTAAGCGCCGAGAGCAGGAGTCCTACCAAAACCACTTTTTCAATGAATATAAGGTTAACTGTTGCACCCGCATGCCGTATGCTCAAGGCTCCAGGCCGTGACATTCTCCCGCCTGCCTCATTTGCTCTACCATTTGGCAGAGCTCTTTACTGCCGCTGGATCGCCCAGTGCCCGACGTGCGACCGCCCGCCTGCAAGGCCAAGCAGGTGGGAAAGCCCCTTGCAGCAGACTGAGATACTCGCCAGCTTTGGGCTCCATGTTTCTACGGCCCTTCAAACTGAAAACTTGCATCGCTTGTTGCGACTCATGATTCCGTCTTGACCACCCACGTGCACGTGCGCTGTGCCCTTTTTACTGCAGTGGCCAACGGCCAATTTACTCAAGGCCAGCATCATTATTTGCTTTGTCAACGAGGCTTGGTCTACGCTCCTACGAACCGTAAGTGGTCTGGATTCGTGAACTGAGAGGGTGTTTTCCAGACCTTGTTAACATGCGGCTCGCTGCATGCCGTTCAGTCACTCAACGCCCGCTGGCCCCATGCCCGGTTCACAGGTTCACAGCGTGCTCAATCGCTCACCGGCCGATTTGGTGCATGAAATTATCCTGCTGGACGATTCAAGCGATGCTGCGTGGCTGGGTGACAAACTCACCAACTACATTCGTGACAATCTTCCCGACAAAGTGAAATACGTGCGGACCCAACATCGTTCGGGCCTGATTCGGGCCCGCCTCGTGGGTGCTGAACATGCTACCGGTACACCACTCCAATCCATGCTGTCATGTCCCCATTCTGCCAAAAGCGTCTTCCGATTGATGGCGACAAACGTGGTCAATTGCCATAGGCGACGTTCTACTCTTTTTGGACAGCCACTGCGAAGCTAATCTCAATTGGCTCGAACCCATCATGGCCCTCATCACTGAAGATCGTCGGACGGTGGTGCGTCTTCAAAGTTGAGCCCTTCATAAACACTACAGCCTTGGCGCCCCCTCATGCCATTACGCACCCGCGTAATCCCTGTGTCCTGCTTTGGTGTCAATAGGTGACGCCTGTGATCGACTCGATTGATCACCACACGATGGAATACAGCAAAGCCACCCAAGACGTGCCGGCCGTGGGCACTTTTGATTGGTTGGTGCACCAACCACCTCGACCCCCTTGAAAACCGCGCGGACCATCTGCGTCGATGCTCAAATCATCGACCCACTGCTCTCACACGCCACGTGATCTCTGTGCGCACATGACTGCAGGACCATGGACTTCAACTGGAAGGCGGGCGTGCGTCGCGCTGGAGCGGATGCAACTGACCCCGTCGACTCTCCAACTATGGCTGGAGGCCTTTTTGCCATGGAGAAAAACTACTTTTATGAACTCGGTAGCTACGACGAGAAGATGGACGGCTGGGGTGGAGAAAACTTGGAAATGTCTTTCCGCATCTGGCAATGTGGTGGCCGCCTGGTCACGGCACCTTGTTCACATGTTGGCCATAGTACGTCTCTAAATCCGAGCTTGCACCACCTTTGTTCCCCTTGGCCGCACCACCTGACGTGCCCATGAATCACGTTTAACGGGTATTTGTTTGGCCGATGGTCAACACGCAGTTTTTCGAGACAGCCATCCCTACACGGTGCCTGGCGGTTCCATCCACGATACCTTCCTGCGCAATTCGATGCGCGTAGCCGAGGTGTGGATGGATCACTACAAACAGTACTTTCTGGACACGCGTCCGGGTCAAAATATCATTGATGCAGGCGATGTCAGCGAACGCAAGGAGCTGCGGCAGCGTCTCCAGTGCCACGACTTCAAGTGGTATCTGAATACGGTGCTGCCAGACCTTTTCATACCCGATGCTAACCATATTCAGCATCAGGGCACGCTGCACACGCCCGATAACATCTGCGTTGATAAGATGGGGCAGCGCAATGGCGGTGTGGCTGGCGTCTATCCTTGTCATGGCCAGGGCACGAATCAGGCGTGGATGTACAGCATTACCAACGAGATTCGCACGCATGATTCGCTTTGTCTCGATGCCTGGGGGTCGACATTGCCCAGCCCCGTCCACTTGGGGCGTTGCCACGGCATGCGAGGCAACCAAGAGTGGCGCTATGATCCCTTGCGGCATACCATGGTCCACGTGCCTCTCAATGCATGCCTCGAAGCCTCGAGCGTGGACTCGCAAAAAAAGCTGCAGATCAACAAATGCCTTTCGGGCAATCAAGCCCAGGTGTGGTTTTGGGATGAGAAGTAGCTTGGCTGCTTGGCTCTCGCGTGATGGGGCAAGACGTGCCCTTTTTACCTTCCTTCTTCACTGCTTGAGGGCCAAATGCGTGCTTGTGTGTTTCATAAATGTATCGTTCGACTTCTTTGAAAAGTCTGCAAGAGAGGAACAACCATTCAATCCAGCAATACACCCGTGCCGTTGACTGCTTTGACTTGATTTCTCTTATATAACTTGACAGTTTTGGTTTATCCACCGCCGTTCAATACACGTACTGAAAGACAGCGTCTTGTCAAAGTGAGGGGCCATTTGCATTCTTCGATGAAATGAATCGGGGAACACTTTTGGATGGGGCGTTCCAGCGTTGACATAAACGTATCTAAGATTTTGAGCCCGATCCCGTTATATTTTTATTGAAAAAAAAAAAAAAAAAAAAAAAAAAAAAAAAAAAATTTCTCTTCACGTGTCGATCAAGCAAAACTCTTTGACTTTTGTTTCAATTCAAAGGGGCAAATCGTGCAATTTGGTCGTCCGACTCGCAAACAGACCACCAGACCACGCTGGAAGAGATCTCAAGCTGCTTTTTTCTTCGACCTTTACGTATTGCGTTTGCTCTTCTTGGGTGGAGGAGCGGCCACCTCCAAATCTACCATCGTCGAGTTCTAGGCACGTCCCAACGCAAGTGCAGGGTGCATGAGCAGGCAGGACCACCGGCGATGTGCACGAGAATCAAGTGACCCAATAAGCAGGAGAGAGTCTCGCATTCCAACCTCGTTAAGATGACGGCGAATAAACTGGAGACCAGCCAGGTTCTTGCCCAATTGGTCGCGTCTGCGGCAACACCACCCACACACAAGTTTGTTGTTGATTGAGTTTGATGCTGGCTGGTGGGAATGCAGACAAAAACAGACGTGCGAAAACAACGTACTTGTTGCCCAAGACTGCCCGTGCTGAGGAGCGCAGATCATCAAAGATATTCAGCAAGGAACGGTCTGCCACCACTTGATTGAAGTGCACGCTGCACAAATGCAACCAACAGGTCGAGACCAGTGAGAAAACACCGAGGAGAATATCAAGCCCAAAAGTAAGAAGGAAGAATAAAGATGTGACGTTGACGCGCACACACAATACACCAAGCTGCGAATGCCCCGACGGCGACCAGTATAACGAACCGCACGAGGAAAAGCAGGCAGCGCGATGCTTTTTCAATGCTCAGATTGCGCGTCAAAAAACCATGCAGATACTTCAAGAGCTCGGAAACTTGCGAGTACGGCAGCAAAAGCATGGCCTCCTCCATTTCCCTGCATTGGTGTGAGGAATAAGTTTGCGTGTGAATGCAAAACAGAAAGAGAGGGGGGAGAGAGAGAGAGAGAGAAAGGGGAAAGAAAAACAAAAAACACAGACACACACAGAAATAAACAAAAACATAAAAAAACAATGCCGAGCTGCGTACGAAGATTTGATGGCCTCCAGGTTGTGGCGCAAGTATTCTGCACCCGTCTCCACGCGGTAAGCCGTGAGCAGCGGGTTCGTTGGTGCATCTATGACATGGATGCCAAGCGCAAAGCAAGAGAGCCACCAACAAATGTGAGTCATGCTTGAGCTGCACATCAGCACGTCTCCCAAGCAGCCGTACCCGGTCCCTTCGCATCTTCCTCGATGGCGACCAAGAGCGCCTCCAACAGTCGATCTGTTGCCTTCAACGTCTCTGCGGAGCGGCGTGTGGCGCGGCCGGCCTCATCATCATCGGCCTGAGCACGAGCCTCCATGGCCTCCCGCTCAGCCTATCACAACAAGATATGTGTCATGAGGTTCATGCTGGGCGGTTTTCTGTTGTCTGGCAGAGCTCGCCTTGGCAGCACACACAAGTAGCTCGAGAGATGCAACGTACCTGCTCCTTCTCATACTCAGTTTCGCGCTCCATTTCCGCCTCTTCCTCCACATTCAGCATTTCTCGGGAACGACGCCAAACGCGAATTGACCGGTCGTGCGACCCTATGGTTGACATGTCACAAATTTGGGGTAGCATGAGATCTGGCTCCGATTATCCTACATCAGTTTGAAACCACACCCAACCAAACCTGTAACAAACAAGCCGCCTTTGCTGCTGATGGCGCTGCAACTAATGACGCTCTTGTGGCCCTTCAAAGTCTATATGTCAAGGGCGCCACGCAGTCGAGGCCGATTCTAGTGTGAGCAGAGAATGCCAAATCAAAGCTGATGGCAAAACATCGCAGTGAAACGGCCTAACCTGAATCTGCGTGAAAACATCGGCGTCCCATTGTTTGATCACACCATCCTTGGAAGTAGAAAAGACGTAATGGCTGCTACCTGCAAATCGGACCGAGGTTACCGAATCCTGTAGGGTATCGCATGAGTATGCATGGGAGGCAGATCACGGATGAATGAACCATAACAGCCAATGTGACTGTTTAATAAAGCATGGCACTTGATGACTTGATGCTTAGCCACAAGACTCCTTCATGGAGGCAAAAGAGCTCAAAATAAGTAAACAAAGGCTCGACAAATACTAACCGTGTGGGCCAGGAAGGACTTGTGGCAGTCACCAAAGTCAAGACCCCAAATCTTGAGGTTCTTGTCCGGGCTGCCCGTGGCCAGGAGTGTGCTGTCCTGGCTAATGTCCATGCACATGACAGGCAGCTTGTGTCCATACAGGCTCAGGAAGAACTTGAGCGTGTCACTGAAAAACACCTTCACAGTGGTGTCCAAGAGCGCGACCGCCAAGAGCTTTTGATTGGGACTGAACCGCAAACAAGTCACCTCATCCGTCATCTTGAGGGTCTTGGTATGGGAAATGGACAATTGTTTGCTGCAAGCGCGCGGGCACAATCAATGACATTGAGGCGAAGGCTTTGGGGCTCTACGTTTTCAGCATGCATTCAAGAATCGCACGCCTGCGCCCGAGAAACAAAACACACCTGCCACCAGCAGCATGTGACACAAGCTCGAAATCCCAGAACTTGACCGTCTTGTCAGCAGAGCCTGTAACAAATCCGGTCTGCGTTGTGCCATGTCCGGGCGTTCATGTCCAGGGTGAATGCACGAAGGGCCTAGCCTTGCAGCTGCAGCACAGCGAAATGACACTTCTCAAAAACCAGCATACCTCGTCCGGAGTGAGGTCCAAGCCCCAAATGGCTCCCTGATGGGCCTCCACTTCATGCAACAGAGCACCCGAGGCCACGTCAAAGAGGCGCAACCAGCCATCCTATAGGAACCGAGAATGATGATATGAACCCAAACTTTCTGATCTGGCATACACAATTTGTGCTTGGGGAATCAATGACGAGAGATGGCAGCTGGGCAGCATGTAGATGAGGCAGGCCGACCAACCTTGGTGCCAATGATGATGTGCTTGTTGCCGGGCACAAAACAGCACGTTACGCCGTAACCCGATTCGAGGGTCCGGATGCATCGGCCCGTGTGCGCGCTCCAGAGCTTCGCGGTGCTGTTGGAGCCCGAGACCACGAGTTGTTCATCGCTGCTCAAGGCAATGCTGCGTACAGGTTTACGATGCCCACTGTGGGAAAAGTAGGCCGTTCGCTGCGATGTCACACCTGCAACCACGTCACCGCCCGGATGCTAACACGTGAGAGCGCGTGCGTTTGAACGACAATGAGTATTCGCAGGGAAATGACGCATACCTTTGCCGGTGCGCTCAAAGGCATGGGTCTCCAGGGCATTGGTGGACAAGAGAGTGACGCTGGCCAGCTTGTTGCCAGATTGCTCTGTTGGTTGCCAAGCAAACGAGCGAACCTATAATACAAAACCGAAAGGGTTTGAAGGCGAGCCCAAAGGTATCAGTGAGACCAAACAGGTGCTCGACCCATCGGCAACCCTGGCTGGATGATTCGTCAAGTAAAAGTGTCACTACGCACACCCTGGCACAGTCACAACTGCAGATACAGAGAAAAAGAGAGACGCAGACCCCCCCTCTCAACAAACAATGAATACCTTGCCCTGGGCCATTACGGTGCCGCCCAGCACAATTTCGTCATTCAGGTCAAGCTGGGGCGTATCTGCAGAGCCAAAAGACAACGGGAGAAGCAATTGCATTGGCATCAGAGACCAACGAAACATCGCCAACTCAGAAATGCCATTTGAGGTGATTACAGGCCAACCACCTTGATCGCCGGCCTTGGCAGCAGCTTTCTTCTTCTTGCGGGCAAGGCGGCGTTGCAGCTCCTCGGTGGAGCGAATGCGAAAGAGATCAATCGTGCTATCCGCGCTATCGGTGATTGAGCCAACACATGTTGTGAATCATCGTCACGTGAGTGCGTTGTGTACGAGGCTCAACTCAGGCCTGATGAGCAAGAACGCGCCGAGGACCGGACCTGAAGACGGCAAAGGTGCGATGATCCGGGCTCATGGCCATGCCTAGTGCTCGATCGTGCGTGCTGCGGGCCACAGTTCCTTGAAGCTGCCAGAGGTGCACAAGAAGGAGGCTTGATGAGTGACGACCCCCTCCCCCCCAAAAAAAATGAACCAGGAGGAAAATGGAGAAGCAAGGCACAACGCCTATGCAATAGGCGATTCTTCTGCCAAGGCTTGACACTGGGTCTTACTTCGGCTACAACGGGACTTTTGACCTCATCCAAGTGAGCATCTGGCGTATGTTCGTCCGCAGCATCATTGTTGCTGGTGGTGCCCGACGATGCGTAAAGCTGTCGAATCCCCGAGACGAACGCGGAGGACAGGGTTGAGCGTTGTCGCATGGCACGGGCAGAAAAGCCGTGAATGTTAGGACTCAGACGTACGGAGCTGTAACCAAGTTGCCAAACGCGGAGTTGATGATCGGCTGCCGTGGTAATGAGGCGCTGTTGCTGATCCAAAAAGGCGAGGCCTGTGACATCGGTGCGATGGCCCACTAAAACGTAAACGCAGGCTTGGGTGTCCAAATCCCAGAAGCGGACAAAGGTATCCTAAGAGGAATTGTCGGACAGAGTTGAGATTGAGCATTGCGCCCTTTGGCATTTGAAGTGGGCACTCAGTGGGTGTGCAGAGTGTGCCAGGAGTCGCCGGGAAAACACCACCTAGCCTTGAGTCACGAGCGTTGTTGGCACGAGCCTACCTTGGAGCAAGAGACAATGAGCCGGCGACTCTCCAGGATGGCAATGTCATTGATCGGGCCCTTGTGTCCACGCAGACGGAAGAGGCCTGATGAAAAGGTGCGGTGAAGATGCCGTCAATAAGGAACGGTGTGAGCCTGGCTTTTCGGTAGCAATAGGGGATAATCGTCACGGGCTGGACGCGACGCGTGTCGACGTGTAGCGCACCTGATTCGTTGAGAACATCCCAGGCAATGACGGTGGTGTCTTGTGAGCCAGACACGAGCTGGCTGCCATCGTCATTGAAGCGTAGGCAGGTGATGCGACTACGATGGCCGCTGCGGGTATGCAGCGCAGCGCACGGGGTTGCCCACAGGGGTGGCGTGAGAATCATGCCGCTTGTCCAAGGCGGCGAAACCCTTGTCCATCCCAGCGCTGAGCTCAATGCGTTGGGATAAACACGCTTTGTGTGTGCATCAGCTGGTCTCTAATGTAGCGTGTCGTACCTAAATACAATGTCGACGGTGCGGGCAGCGAGAGACCAGATGCGGATGGTACCGTCCTGGTAGCCGGCAGCCAGCTGCTTGCCGTCTGGATGCAGCGTCAAGCACGTCACCACATCTTCATCACCTTCAAGCGCATACAGCTGTTGGCATCGGCAGTTGTAGACGTGCGCGATGACACGGATTTGCCAAGTGAGAGCGAGCGCGAGTGGTACGCGACCGGTTCGTCTGGTTTCAGGAAGGGCTCACCTTCTCGCCCGTCTTGATGTTCCATACGATGATATCTTCCAGCGCCGGCACGGCCACATGATGGGCGGTGGGCAGCAAGACGGCATTGCCATCATCACTCGCCACGACGCCAAAGCGCGCCGCGCTCTCATAGCTTATGCCCGGCGACAACAGGGGAAGCCCAAAGAGCCCGAGTGAGTGTTCACGCTGTGAGACCCCGATGCACCGATGATAGTCACCTCTTACCGCAAATAATTTTTCGCAATGGGCATTGTGTGAGGTTGTGTCAATGCTCCCCACTGGCAACAATCCACCCAGCCCCTCTGTACAAGCCCCGAGCCTCGAGCCCCGGCCAACACCCAGACGCCCACGAGAGGGAAGGAACACACACACACACACACACACACACACGCTTTTGCTCTGTGTGTGCAGCACGCGGTCAATTGTCAGAAAAAGAGAGAAGAGAAGAGAGAGAGAGAGAGAGAGAGAGAGAGAGAATTGTCGAGAGAGAGAGAGTTAAGAGAGAGAGAGAGAGAGACGAGAGAGAGATTTGAGAGAGAGAAAGAGAGACGAGAGAGAGATGATGAAGAATGTCAGACACAAATGGCATTGTCAGACAATATGATGCTGGTGGTGAGTGAAAGGAATCCGCCGCGGGTGAGAGAGAGATGGCGGGCCTGATGTGGTGCTCTGCTTGTGTGGCTGTTGTGCTGTGCCATGCTGCTGCTTGGGGATAGGGGATCACGTCAGAGCTGTCGAGTGAGGATGCCAGCGGGCTGGCCAAGCTCACGGGCATCTTTATGTTGATTGCCTTCTTTGTGCTTTACCCCAACAATGTGGCTCAGGTCTGTGCGAGCACCCAATGGAAGGTCTTCCTTCTCGGCTCGGCTCGGCTCGATTCGGCTCGGCTCGGCTCGATTCGGCTCGGGAGGCAGCTCATGAGTCAAAGTGGTTGCCATTCTCATGCTAGGGCTTGGGTCTATCCAGCGAGTGCCTGTTCCGAAAGTTTTTGCCAAATCCCTCGGCGTTTTTTTTTGATCACCATGTACGTCCCACTCCCAAAGGCGGGCGCCGGCCTTTGCTTGGCCCTCATTTTTATCGTGCTCCTGGTCGCATGCGCGGTGTTGACTCTAGGTCAAGTTGACGGGCTTTAATCTTCTCTTGACGGGTGCCTTGGCACTTGTGTATTCGTCAATGGCCTTGTGCTTCCACCTGGAAACCCCGTGGTCTTCTGCCACCATCGACCGAGGCACCCATGCTTACACGGCACCGGCCAATGAGCCAGGGCTCCGCTCCTGGGCCGTGGTTGCACTTTCCCTCTTCTTTTACACCCTGTGGTGCTTGGGCCTGGCTGCGGTGATGCAGGTGGCGTGGTGGTCGCACCACCGATGGACCAACCATCCAGCCTGCCGTCATCTGCGGTCTTACTCTCCAGACTGGCTCCGGGTGGCGCGCGCCATCAATGCCGAGGCCTGCCACATGGATCGCGTACAGGTGCAAGTCGGCACCCGTACGGTACGCGCGCATTTATTTCTCGGAACTCACTCCGCTCTTCCCCACCCAATTGCTTCATGGCTCCACCGATGTTGACCAACACGCTTTTGCTTGCGCTCCCGTGTTCACGGGGCCACAGATATTGATTACCGATTCTTGGCTCGTTCAGTGTAACGTGTATTCCCTCGACATTGCCCTGCAGGCGAACGTGGATATGAGGTCGGAGCATGTGCTCACCCCTCCCGAGGGGCAATGTCCGCTTGCCCCCCCCCTGCCCCCTCCTCATGGCCCATCAAACTTACCCGGCCCCTGCTTTGTCTGGCTTCCCTTATCCACCGTAGTGTCGTGCAGGCCTGGGAAATTCACTCGATTCACTCAAATGAAGCGCGACAAATGCTTCGTGTGCATGTCACGTCCGTCAACGCGGCAGTCAAGCCCTTTAACGTGGTACTCGATTCTTTGCAGTACGGCATCCTTCGAGACAAGCTCTCCGTCGCCGTGCGCATGGTGCAAAACATTCAGCTGCGCGTGAGCGTGGCTGACCGCTTCCTGCACGAGCTGCGTCAAATCGTGGAAGAGAACCCACCCTACCTGGCACCTCCCAGTCAAATGGTCAGCCTCTGTCTGCTTGTGCAGGAGCAAACCGGCGTGCCCACACACCAGCCGATCTCACCAGATGTACGCCTGTGGCATTCAACATGCCACCACGCAGGAGGGTGATCAGTGCATTGGTTGCTTGAACGCCCAGCCCAATATCAAGATTCAAACCAACAGTGCGGACGAGTCGCTGGGCGCCTGTTACTGCCGTCCAATGTGGTGCTTGGACTGCTTGGGCAAGGTGCGTGCCCCGTCACAGAAGCTGAGCGTTCTGTGCTCTTTGTGTTGAAATGCGTTTGAGCTGACTGAGACTACCGCTCCCGGTTGTCAGTGGTTTCTCAACGCACAGGACATCAATCGACCAGAGACATGGCTCGCGGGCCGTGCCCATTGCCCGACGTGCCGCGCCGAGTTTTGCACCCGCGACCTCTCCCCCGTTGCAACCTCCACCCTCGCCCATCAGTACGCTTGACACCCCTGCCGTGCTCCCTTTGTCATCCTTTTAGTATTTTGTTGTTCTAAACACATGTACTCTACACCTTTTCCTTGGTCACCAAAATCAAAAACAAGCTCGACTTTACAACACAAGCATCACCTTCATCAACAAAAACCCCTTTCACCTCAACACTAGGTCCTTATGACAATTCAATCTTTTATGCACAAACCATTAATTAAGCTTCACAAAACCCTTTACTACACCTCCAACACGAACACAAAAAATCAAAAATAAAAATCAATTCACACACACACACACACACACACACACTCTGCTGGTGCTGGTGCTGGTGCTGGTGCTGCTGCTGGTGCTGGTGCTGCTGCTGGTGCTGGTGCCTGGTGCTGCTGGTGCTGCTGGTGCTGCTGGTGGTGTGTGCACGCCCGACCTTCTAGGGTGTGGCTGTGGGGGGGAGAGAGAGGGAGAGAGGCAAGGCGTACTTCAGAGCTACCCGCTGTGGTGAACGGTTCAGCGCACCCTGCAAGATGTCGTACCGTGACCTTCGCAACTTTACCGGTGCGTCTCAAGCCTCTGGGGCCGTTCCGTGTGTGCTCGTCTGCCGCCTTCCTTACAACAGTGACCGTGTCTACTTCACGCGCCCTTTCTGGCGTATCGCACAGAAATGCTCCGTGCTCTCGGATATCCGCGCCTCGTTTCCATCGAGAACTTTCGTCAGCCCAACTTTCCGCTCGTGGCAGAGGTACGCCCCCGACGTGGTCGAACATCTCTCTGAATGGCTGCCTGCCGACTCCGTTTCGGCATCTCCAGCCTCAAGCTCAATGTGGTGGTCGCCTGGCGCGGTCGCCTGGCGCTCAATGTTCTTTGCTCGTGTGCTTAGATTCTTGTTTGGCTCCTCAAAAAATTTGATCGATCTGCTGCCATCCCTTTGGATATTGACGTATGTGCTTGCGGCCTGGAGTTGTGGGACAAGATCTGCACAACATCCCCGCCCGCCGCTTGACGCGCCTCACTCGCCTTACATTCTTGCATGCAGACGGAGGCTGATCGCGTCATCTTTATCAAGGCCATAGCAGCTTTCATGGTCAGAGCCGCTTGCCTCATATTCGAAGCACTTCTGCTCGCCTTGTGGCCTGCCTGGGGTTTGGTCGAATGCCCAGCTTCTAGTTTCTCTGACGCATGTTTTTTTTGGAACTCTTGGGTGCCTCAGGCCACCAAAGCACACGTCCGCCTAAACACTCGGCGTTTATATGGCGCAGACGGTTATGCAGTCCGCGAAATGCTCAAGGTGACCTCGCTCATCTATTCCGCAGCCCGCCAAGCTGCCGGCGCACCCGGGGTCAGCAGTGGGGCTCCACCCGTTTCCCTGAGCGACTTTGACATCAACACCAAGCTCGGCGACCTCAAGCAAACCCGGATGTTGGCCGGTGAAATCACTTCCCGTGGTGCTAACCTATATGAGCTTTTGGAGAACGAGCCCGAGCTGCGTGTATGTTGGTCTTCCCACCCTGGCTCCTATCGCCACAAAACCTTGCCGCTGGAATCAGAACGTTGATGACTTGTTCTTGCTCTTTGAACAGGCCAACCGCAGCCGCGTTCTAGCCTCGGGCATGGATATTGAGCAGATTGAACAGGCCGTGCGCACCAGTCTGCAGCAGCTGCGCATGCAGACCGAGAAAATCAACGGGTGAGCTGGACTAGCTCCAGCCAACCCGACCGAACCCGCAATCGCCCGACGCGTTGAAGTTTCAGCATCTGACGCCTGTGACCCCTGCAACCTTTTGATGCCCCTAGCATGATGAACAACATCGCAGCCGATGAAGCCAACCTGGAGGGCAAGCTGGAGAAGAAGCGCCTGGACTTGGACCGCAACCAAAAGCGCCTCAAGAGTCTTCAGAGTGTTCGGTATGGCGCTCAACAAAACCCTCCCGCCGCTCGTCACCACTGAAACTTTGCTGAAGCCTGTCATACATCCTGCCTTCACAGACCAGCCTTCATGGACGAATACGAGAAGCTTGAGGGTGAACTGCAAACATCCTACGAGGAATACGTGGAAAAGTATCGCAATCTGGCATACTTGGAGAAAGAGCTGGAAGATTTCAACCAGCGCGAGCAGGACAAGTTTCAAGAAACCGAGCGCCAGCTTCGTCGCATGCAGGTTAGATGCTCATGTCATGGCGTGCTCTTCCGTAATTGGTCCTTCTGCGCCTTTGCGAAGCCGCCATCTCGCTTCCAGCTCCAGTTTACCGGCGCATGGGCCATCATGCTCACTCCCTTGCTTTTGATGTGTCAGGATCGCCTTCACGACGAAGAGGCACGCTTGATGCGTGGAGGCGAGGACGGCACCCTGGATCTGGACGAAGACGACGATGATGAGGACCTCGACTATAATGACGGCCTTTTAGATGAGGCACCGGATAGCGATGAGGAGCTTGAACGGGAGAGCAGCCGCTATCAGCGCCACGCTCGGCAAGCTGCGGCCTTTGGTGACATGGGCGCGGGTCTTGAGGATGATGACGACAATTCCGACGTCGATCTCTCGGCCTCGGATGGGTCAGAGCTCACAGATGACGCGGAAGAAGACCTTTTAACCTACAAGCAGGGCGATGAGGTGCTGGATGACACTGATGACGATGACTTTTGAGGCTTGTATCGTGTGAAATGAGGAAGAACAAAAACAAAACAAAACAAACGATCAACTGCCTCGCATGGCAGCTGATGATCGATCGCCCAATGCGGATCAACGTTATCAATCAATTGAACATATCAAACAGACAGGTTTTGTTGTCAATCAACGGCAGAAACAAGTCAGTCACAGACGAGGTGTCCACACCAGTCAGCATTTCCATAAACACTGCAGGATCTTGCCAAGCAGGCAGGCACATGCAACAGAATGCAGCTTGCACAAGGAAACATGTGCAAAAACCCCACAAAAAAAGTTAAGCATTGTTTTTAGGCAGGAGAGCAACTCTTTAGCGAGCGCGTCCTCACAATAAAATTTGATTTAAACGCGACCCACAGAAACAGTTGACGTTCGATCAGCCGTCTTTTCCAATTGGGAGCGAACAGTCTTGCTGTCGTCATCCTCCGCCCGATCTTGCATCTCCGTGCCGTTGGAGGTATTGGGATGCTCGGAAAGGGGCATGGCCGATGGGCCGATAAAGCTCAAGACGACAGGAAGCAACACGGTGCCGTTGAGGAACGCGATCAGGATGATGACGGCGAACATCTTGAAATAAAAGTTTCTGTCGCAAACAGCAGGGCAAGACCATCAACAACAAGGGTGAGCAGATCAAAAACTGGGCCAACACAACATTTGGGTCGAACGAAAACAGGAGAGGCAAATGCCTAGGCAAAGGGCGACCAACTAACCGCAGGAACGGCGTTTGCGAGCCAGCAATGAAGAGCACGGCCAAGATGGACGAGACTGCACCATGCAGCATGGGTTGGCCCATGAAGCGAAGCGCCCGGACGATGCGGTCAGTTCGTTCTTCACCCTGCTCCACAAGAAACTCGTGCGCAATGTGTGATGTAAACTCGATGGACATGCCCAGAGAGAGGATAACGTTGGTGCTGCTAAAGGCGTTAACCTCCAGGTTGAGAAGGGGAAGGAAGCCAAGAACCTCAATGCCCACAACCAAAATGGTGAGGCAGAGAAGGAGGGAGGTGACAAGCGAGCACTGCAGCACAAAGGTGGCCGCAAAGATGCCGGCCAAAGAGAGACCGACAACCGTGAAGAGATCCTCAAAACTGGTCAAGTACTGCTCCCAGTAAATGTAGGGGTAGCCGATCACAAAGGTTTCAAACTCGGGGTCTGACGAGTCATCGTACTCGTCCAGTACCTCGTCGACGCGGTCGCGCGTGTCCTCAATTGCATCCAGAAAGTTGTCGGTAGAATCGAGGTTCTGGAGGTAGAATGTTCCGCGGGTAGAGTAGAGTGTGATGGTGGGAAAGTCGGGGTCGGATTCAGTTCCAACAATATCGAAGCAGCTCGTGTGCACGCCGTCCTCATCTTGACAAATGAGGTCGGGCAATGAAGTGACGCCGAGACCGCCCAGCCAGCCAGCGAATTCAGTGTAAAACTGGCTTTCTGGAACAGGGGTCAAATCGGACGTGTTGCCGTTGACTGAGCCCAGGAAACGGTGCAGCCAGTAGGTCGAAGAAATGGGGGCACCGTTATCCACCCACGGTGAAGTTTGCAGCGCTGCTGTGGCGGCCAGCAAAGTGGTTTGCATCTCCACGCTCTCAAAGCGACTTGAGGTGGTGATCATGTTGCTCGAGTAGAGCTGGAAATTTTCCTCCAGTAGCACGGCAAACTCGTGCTGGTAGGTACCATCTGGAGCCACCGTAGAGGTTCGCAAGCCCGTCTCATTCTCGAAAAAGCCCTGCCAAACCATCAGGCCAAAGAAGACGGCAAAGAGAACCAGAATCAAGATGCGCACAGGTGTTTTGACCAGGGCGGGGCCGTAATAGTTGCCGTAGAAGCGGCTATAGACGTCCTCGCTCTTGTTCGTCGCAGTTTCGTCGCCGCACTTGAAGCAATTCTCGCGACGGCCAGCCAGAACACGCGAGGCATCCAGCATGATCATGGGCACAAAGAGGAAGATCAGGAAGAGAAAGTTGACCACAACGCTGACCACCATCTGCTGACAAAACAGTTGCACAATGCGGACGGGCATACTGGCCGCTACGCCAAAGGCGACGGCGTTGACGACTGAGGTGAAAAAGACAGAGGGTCCAGCATCGGCCATGGTGCGACCCATAACATCTTGCACAGTGCCACCCAGCGCAACCTCACGCGTGTAGGCGCGCAGCACGACAAATGCATCATCAATGCCGATGCCCAGGGCAATGAAAGGAATGACGTTGTTGCTGATCGGGGTGAATGGGATGCCAAACCAGGCTGTCAGACCAAGGGCAGCACCCGTGGAAAAGGCAATTACAATCACGCTACCGACAGCGATCCAACCGTGCGAGTAGATTGAGTTGCGGAAATTGGTGAACTGCAAAAAGACATATGCAAGCATGGCCAAGTAGCCACCCACAAGTAGGCCCGTCTCCAGCTTGCTGGCCTCTTCGACGACATCATCCGTGGAGCGCCACGTGTTGAAGAAGAAGCTTTCGTCGGCATACTTGGGATCATCGCGGTAAATTGTCCCCTCGTCCTTGTTGGCCATGGGCAGAAAGGCATCAACAATCTTCTTTTCAAAGGCCAGCACAATGTCGCTACGCTCGTCTTCGGTCGTGTTAAAGCCGAGGCGTGTGTTGAGATTGTTGGTAAAGGTCAGCTGCTGGTGATCGTAGTTGTTAACCACGGTGCGCTGAGCGCCGACAGCGGCCAGGCTGGAATTGGTCAAGTAGCTGAGGTCACCCAGTGTGATTTTGTAGGGGACAGGAGAGGTGGACCAAGCCATGAAGCAGGCGTTGATGGGCTCACCAGCCAAAGATACCGTATCTGTGTTGCCAGCAATGCACTGGGTGGCAGACACGTTGTTATCAGAGTTGACAATGGCCTCCGAGTACAGCTCGAGGATCTCGGCATCGGTAAGGGTGCTCGTGGCGGTCGGGTGCGAGCCGTAGGCCGGGCGATGCCAGAAGCCAAAACCGAACAAAGTGGTCACACTCGAGATGAACTGCGTGTTGAGCTCGTTGGCAGTGAGGGCTGCAGTCGCCGCGACGGTTGGGAGAACAGACAAATAGGCTGCACCCTCGGTGGTTCCAGCAGCCGTAGCCATGGCTTGGCCACTGCCAAAGGGCTCGCTCGAGTTGAAAAACGTGGCCAAAGGCACGTAGGCCCCGACGGCGGCCATGCCGGCGGCAGTCTGATCGCCTGAGGATGCAAGCTCGGTCACAAAGGCTGTCTCGGCCGCCGTGAAGGCATCGTAGTTCTCAACACGGTACTGGTTGCTAAAATCGCCCGCTGTCGAGGACTTGAAGGACTGGAGGTAGATGGCATCCTTGACGGGTTGTAGGAGAGATGTGTCCAAGCACTGTGCCCGTGCCTCCTCAGCGGAGAGGCGGTTGAACCAGTAGTACATGTAGCGGGATACTCGGTCCAGCATCTTCATGCGCAGCGGGTAGTCAAAGTCACCCTCACGGAAAGCATCCAGGCCAGTTGAGCGCGTGCAGGGGAATCTAATGGGACAGGTTGTGACAGCCGACCGTGATGAGGAGAGACGCCTTGCGCTGGGGGCTTGGCGGGAGGTCAAGGACATCAAGCGCTTTAACAGACCGGTCAATGCCCCAGGTACGAGGAAGAGGGCGGAGTTGTTGATACACGGTCACTTCTTCTGGCATGAGCAGGGTACCCGCGTTGAGTTGGGTCACTTTGGCGGTGATGACGGCCAACGTGGTTGACTGCGCCTCCGTCTGGAGACTGGACAGCGTTGTCAGAACAAGGCCCACGGCGGTAGCGGCATCAGCACCGTTCTATTGAGTGCAAGTTAAAAAAGGAAATGAGCAAGCACGAAAAAAAAATACAAAAAAAAAAACAAAAAACAAACAAACACCGCAACAGAGTATTGTCATCGCGACACCACGTACGCCACCAGCCGCAACGTAGAAGGTGGCAAGCTGATTCTGGTTGGCGCTATCGGTGAGATCGGCACCGGCGGCGATCATATTCAAGGCCTCGGTGGTGATGTTAGTCAGGGCGGTGCTGTCCAGGCTGAGGCCGGCGTCTGATTCAGCAGCCGCAACAGCAGCAGGGGCTGCAGTTTGGACGTAGACAAAGCCCACTTGCTGCTGGAAAGCCGTAGAATAGGGATTACCACCGCCGCCCAGCAGGGCATCAAAAGCGGCTCCACTCGCAGTCAGGCCAGGGTCACTCCAGTCGGCACCGTTCATGGCAGCTCGCTGGGCGGCCAGAGTGTCGGGGTAGATGTTGGTCACGATGGAGGCATAGTTATCGTGAGTGTAATCAGCAACGCACTTGGCGACGGCCTGGTAGCCATGGCCAAAGTAGTTGCCTGCGCTGACAAAGTAGAAGGATGCACTTGACATGGCCGTGCCGGTTGAGGAGCCAATGACCAGCGCACCATTGACCACGTTCTGGAGGTTGCTCAAGACCGAAGTGGCCGCCTAGATATCAACGTCCCAGTGCAACATTGAGTGGTTACAAGGAGGATGAGAAGAGTGTTAAGGCGTGGCCCTTTGCCATGCATTGTTTTCTTGGTTTTTGTGAGACGTGAGGCGTGGCGACATTCACGGTGGCCGGGAACAACTTACGTCACCAGAATTGGCTGTGTCACCCGAAGCGCTTTCGTAAGCGGTGGCGGTGCCGCTAAAGTCTGGAGGGCTGGTGGAAAGAGCGTAGCCATAGGCAGCCTGGAGGCCACTGACGTCAAACACGTTGTTATCTTCAAGGGAATAGCTGACGCCGAGAGTCAGTGCGGCTTGAAGGCCACAGCTCAAGCCGGCGCTGTTCAGATCCATGCGCTGGTCGGTGTCGCGAAGGTTGGCTGAGAAGGCGACAAAGGCGTTTTCGCAAGCAGTGATGGCGGCTTCTTCGTAGGTGTCGTAGTGAGTTCCAAGAGAGACGCCTTGCTTGTTGGCGGCCAAGGCAGTGGCTTGGGCTTGCTGGAAGACGGGCGAGGTGAGGATGGCTGATTCGTAGGGAAAATAAGAGGGGTAGGCGCTGTTGGCGAGCACATCGGGAACGGTGGGCGTCTCACAAAAGTCCTTCTCTGTGAGATTGACGGCTTGAGAGGCGCCGCTTTCCTTGTCGGTGTAGGACCAGGTGAGGCGAATTTGATTGGGGGAGGCAGCAATCTCTTGGCAGTCGCAGTAGATGTTGGTTTCGCCAGCACCCAGCACCGAGCAGTCGAGGGTGCCCGTAAAGTCGTTGTCGAGAGCGGCACACAGGCTTGTTTCATCTTCTTTGAAGAGTGGGCTCAGAGCAGCAATGATTGAGTCAAACCTGCGCAAGGAGACGACCCAAGTCAGATACACCAGCGCGTGCGTGAGTGTGTGCTTGTGAGAACGGCCGGGACAGGTGAGGGGAGGGCGAATTAAGGTGAGGCCGCAAAACGTACGTGGTGGCGTTGGCGGCGTTGGCATTGCCATTGTCCTTGAGATGAATGGAGGCTTGTTGGCGGGGGATGCCACCAAACGTATCTTCAAGAACCTTGAACTCGTCATGCATGCGGCTATCCTGGTGGGTATCTAAAGTGTGGATGAGGGATGAGAGATGAGAGGAGCCGGGAAAAAAAAAAAAAAAAAAAAAAAAAAAAAAAAAGGTTACCAGCCCAAGAAAAAAGCTGCTCAAGCAAAAGGGCTGTCACTGGAGATGCAACGCAAGTTGGCCGGGGGTGGAGGGCCCCTAGCCATTCTTTCCTTCTTTTTATTTATTTTTATTCACAGTGGCAGGGGGGGGGGGGGGGGGGCTTAAAGAGATTAATAATCTCGCTTTCCTCTTCACCCTCGGTGATGCCGACGATGAAGAAGATGCCGAGGGCCACGAGGAGGACGGCGGCGACAGCGGCGACAGGTTTACGACCGAGAAAACGGCCAAGCCCAGCAAAGGCATCCGACTGCAAGGTGAAGAGCTTGGCTCCGACGCGCTTCATGGTGGCGGTGCGGCAATGTGGCGGCCTGTCACACTGGGGTCTGCCCGTTGACGAGGGCAGCCGCACGGGGGTACCAACCGAGCGGGAGAAAGACGGCCCAGGTAAAGGGCAGCAAATGGGGCAGCGAGTACGGCTACTGGAGACGCACGTCTGGACGAGGCGGTACGCGTACACGTACAAAGTACGGGGCCGGGTGCTGGCGGCGAGCAGCTGGGGGTGGTGAATGCGTCAGACCCCGGCAACGACTTGACCCTGGAAATTTGACCACCCACCCGACTGTGTTATAAACACGATCAACGTTGACATAAAGTTGTATAAGACTCATGTTTGAATCGACACGAACCTCTGTTTTAGCTGCATAAAGTCGCTGTCGTGTGGGCGGAGCGTGTGTTGGAACCCTTCCGATGTGGACATGTTCTTTACCATGGAGGTTATTGCAGATACATTCATGGGTTGTTGCGTTTCCTAAGCAGGACATAAGCTTAGTAAATGTTACAATACTGACGAGCTTTTGCAGTTGTTGGGGGTCGAGTGTTGCGTGATCTTTGTTGACGTATCCTTTGTGTTTTTTTTTCCTCCACGCTTTGCATCTCTCCCGCTCTCTCACGTTTCTCCTGTATACGTATGCCTCTCTGGGTTCCCTTGCTTATACCTTGGAGCTGTTCCTCCATCTCTTCCCAGCGCTTGCTGTCTCTTCAAGCCGATCAATATCGACCTCCATCTCTTCGACGTCGTTTTTCGTGGCAAAACCCAAAAAGGCGCATCACATCAAGGCTGCGTCGTCCTGCTTTTCCCCTCAGAGCGCGCTTGACCGCGCAACGCGTCCAAATAGATCACCACAACGTCTTTCTTAGAACATACATGATTTTGACAGAAAGAGAAGAGTGAGCGAGTGTGTGTTTTCCGATCGGATGGTGGGATATACTGCCTTGGAGAAGGACGAATGATGGCCAACATACCACAGCCGCCTTGAACTTGAAGACAATACCACACCATCACCGACCATCACCATCACCATCACCACTCGGCCATGCCACGCTCTCTGCCTGTCATACAAAGAGTTTGCATCTGCATGGTTGTTTTGAATTTGAGACATGTCAACTCGCCTGGCAGCGGCCACGTCTCAAACCCTCGCCCGGTCCCAATACACAACCGACGACAACACATGGCCCCCAGCCCATGGAGATTCAAACCCGCCCCCCCACTGTGCTCTTCTTACTGACTCGGTCGGACTCGCTGCCATAACAGAACCTCCGACTGCGTGACAGACTTTCCGAAGAAATACAGAAGAACAAAAGAACATACGACTTGACACGTAGTAGCAGTATCAAAGGCTTTTGAAGTCATCGTGTCCCATCAAGTAAAAAGTATCATTTGTGTGTGGCAATGCCAGGCGTTGGCGTTGGGAAGTTTGGCTGTCTGCCAGCGGAGCGGGAGGAGTGTTCGCTGATCGTGTTGATGTTTTTGCTTCACATCATCATGTTTCATGTTTTATTATTAATCACCAGTCAAAGTCAAAGTGTCGGGGGAGGGGGTGAGGGGCGCGTTTTGTTCTGAACCACCCCACCTCCCCGTTCCTGGCGGCACCTGCTGCCCGTGCCATGTCATGCTGTATCCCATCTAAGGACATTGCTTGTCTTGATTGTGTTGCCACCTGCCACATGCATGCAAGACGTGCCAAACACTATTTTTTTGTGGTTTGGATCACTTCTCCTAAAATTGAAGATTATAGAAAAGAGAGGTGTCTAATGGCGGGAAAATCAGGGCAGGATTTGTCGACAAAAGTTGAAGCATCATCGTCGTCCGTCGGTCGTCGTGCATGAATCCGGTTGAATCAGCCGATGAACATGGCAGCGCCCGTCAACATCTTGGCCCACACGGGCCTACAGGGCTCAGATCTCGTTCGGCAACTGACTGATACCATACCCGACTGCAGGTTCATTTGTACGTTGGTGCACATCACGCGAAACAAGACAGCAATCAATTGCTCCAGGCGTGCCACTCATCAACCGTCGTGGCGACCTTTCAGACTCTTCCAAGGTCGTACCGCGCTCCCTGCGCGTCACCAAGAAGCCCGCCCACAGCTATTTGCTCTTGGCAGTGCCGTTGGATACACCAGAAGATGCCCTTCTTCTGCAAAAGCTCCAACGCTTTATTCAGACGGCAAGAGCCACCACCCGCACCATCCTCATCCTGGCCGACCGTTGGAGCGACGAACATGCGGCTGTCCCGGCCGTTAACAATCAGTACGACGGTCAAGATGCAGGCAGGCCACACGCACAAACCTTCCACAATCCACCGACCCTGCTCCACTTTACACAGCTCACGTCGGTATCGGCCATGCCTTCGCCCAGCCCTCGACAGTCACTAGCTCTGCCCTCCAGACGCATTCTCGCTGTGCGGAGGACGTCGCTCTACCTCATCTGCCTTTGCCTCATCCTCCTGGCCCAATAGCTGCCCAACTGAACGAATCTTGCCCGTAGGCACCAGCCTCGAAGCCGCCAAGACCATCGGCGCGTTCTTGCGGCTGCCCGGGCGCCTGCCGTCCATTTGCGCCGCCCTTGCCACCGATGAGACACCCACAGACCCCGAGCTACAAGCCGAACAAGCTTGGTCCAACCTCTTGGGTGCCTCGGTGCCGCGAACGGCCGCCCTTTCGTCGCTTGCCCGTGCTCCACAAGAGGAGCTGAGCCGCCTCGGGTATGCCTGCATATTGGCACAATCCACAAAGGAGAGAAAGTTACTTGCGCATCAGTTCTTACCCCCTCTCTGCTTCGGTCCATGCCTCAACGACTCAGCCTAAGCCCCGTGATGAGCACTGCTCTGAGCCAATTTCTAGACGCCCCTCCCTTTGCCCACTATACGCCCTAAAGGTTGTCCGAAAAAAAGCGCCATGGTAGATGCACTTGCCCACACGACGCTGCGCAAACGAGGATCTCCCCGTTCGCCAGTCCCTACAAACAACAAGCACCCCTCTCAATCGAAGGTTGATTCTGATCATTAGTGCAAAAAAAAAAAAAAAAAAGCCTTGCTTGCGTGCTTGCTATTCCATTCATTTTTTTTTTTTCTGTGCGAAAATTTGATTTGATGGTTTGATTTGATGAATCTCTCACATTGATAGTTTAAGTTTCGTGATCAGGTTTCCAGCCATCTGACCAGTCTCTCGTCTGGGCGTCCAATCTGGGTGGGGGGACAGCTTGCCATGAGGCCCTGGACCGGCCGCTGCCTGGGTATGGGCTTGCTGATACTATTAGCCTTGAACCTGCTATTGTACCTGATGCGACAGCGATCGACTGCCCCATCCTTCACTTGGCCCACTCCCGGCGTGCCAGGTCGGTCAAGGCTGTCGAATCCCACCTCCGATAGCTCGCTGGCACACAGATACACACACCCTTACCCGACCAATATCCTCACTTACACGCCGCAGCACAAGTACGCGCCACGCAAACAGCAGCTGGCCAAGGGGCCCCACCACCCTCGCTACACGTGGTGATGCGGGACTTTTATGAATGGTCGCACCAATTGCCAGCTGTGCTGGACGCGCTCGAGGCCTATGCTACTCATGTAGCTGCCGTGCATGTCGATATTCTGGCTGTGCAAAGCCCTTATCCGAGTCTCCGTGTTGCCGACAGTCCCCGCTTTTCTGTGCAGGTATGTGTGTTCCACTTCCCTCAAGGTCTGGGCAGTCAACGGCCCTGGTCGATGGCCGGCTTTGTTGAGGTTGACCCGCTGTTGCCTGTCCATGGATAGCATATCAACGACCAGCCGCGGATCGACCAAGCACCCCCCTCTATGTGTCAGTAGCACGGCACACTAGCTTGGCACCAATGCCATGAGCGAGAGCGCCTTAGACACGGACTCACTGCCTTGTCGCGCCCCCTCCCTTGCGATGCATCTGATCCCATCTGATTAGTCGACACGCAAACAGGGCCGCTGGCGTTGGCGTTGGTGCTACCGGATGGTCTCGTTATGACTGACCCGACCCGCTTCGGGGCTTGGGCAACGCAACAAGCATCGCTACTAAGCACTGGCAGTATTCTGGCACTCGCGCCGGCTGCCGCCCTTGCCAAAACCTGTCGACACGCCTCCTTCTCTTTTCGGTCCTGGACCCTTTTGGTCGCTCGCGAAGGACCATGCAATTTTATCGAGCACGGTCAGTTGAATAGAGTGCCCCTTGTCTTGCCTTCTCCTTCCCAATGAATGCGATCAGAAATGTACTCTGACGACAGCGCTGGCCATGCAAACACCTCAGAACCCGTTGGGTTGGTCATGACATCCAACACGCTCGACCAGCTTCACTGGCGTCGTCACGTGCAACTCCAACAGGGCATTCTTCTCGAGGTATCTTTATGAGGGGATCCCATCCATGCCATGGCGTGCGGCTGGCTCTGGATGTGCGTTCACCTGCTGTGCTCTGGTTCTGCACCACCACAAGGCGTTAGCTCGGCAGATGCCCATACACTTCCTCAATCAAGACGATGCAGGGATGCAGCAGTTGGACAAAGCCACTCGGTTTCCCACCCCACATCTCCTTCAGAAAGAGGCATCGTGCAGCGCCCAGCGTCTGGGCCAGCTGTACGCCGACGTTGGCATAAAGCTAGTCATGCGCGATGAAGAGCAAGAGTGGCACGGTTGCAATCGCGTAGGTTTTTATCGCCCTTTAAGCCTTGCATGGTTTGATTGCGTCGGCATTCTCATCAAGTGGGCGCACACTGTGTACGGGCGTCTCCGTTTTCTTGTGCACGACAGAAAACCGCACGATGCTTTGGAACCATTCTTCACGATCGACCAGACTACGTGGAGCGCGGTCGCTTCACGCCGCCCTGCTGCCTTGAGCACATTCGCGAGACGGCCCGCTATGTCTTTCGCCAACTCGAGGCTGTCGGTGTGCGCTATTGGTTGGAGGGCGGGACTCTTTTGGGTGCAGTGCGCCATCGCGATATCATCCCGGTTAGCAAATGAGCGCGTTTTACTGTTGTGCAACTTCGACTTGATGGTGTGCGCTGCTTGCGGGCCTCGGGTAGTGGGACTATGACGCCGATCTGGGTCTCTTCCTCTCCGATGTGGACTTGTGTTGGCAGATGCGACAAGCTCGTGATTCGGTACGTTGACTGACCTTGCTCCAGCTGTTTGAAAATCCCTCCTGCCTTGTTGGTCCACACCCACACCAATGCGCCATTGGTTGTGTGCTGCATGGGGCCACACAGGGTCCAGTTGAACATGAGGGGTTTATTTGGGAACGTGCACGTGAAGGCGACTTTTATCGTGTTCAATACTCGCGTACCAACCGGGTCCACGTTGATCTTTTTCCGTTCTACGATCGTGACGGCACGATGACAAAGGTAAATTGCAGTCTACTCCTTTGCAGATGCCATAGCCATTTGTTCGAGCCACGGCCGAATTGCTTGTCACCAAAAGCTCAGCTGGCAGCCTGACCTCGACGCCGATAGAATACATGGATCGCGTCTCATCAACAAGACATGGAATTTCCAGCCAGGTTTGTGCATCGACTGGAGCGATTACCGTTTGTTGGCGTCGAAGCCAACGTGCCAAACAACTACCGTGAATTTCTGGAGCTCAAGTTTGGTGCTGGCGCCATTGAGCATCCGCGTCTCCCGGGATCAAGCCCATAGATTGGTTGCTTGTGCCAAAAAATTGACGCTTTGATGATGGACATGAGAGGTCGAATAGCCAAGAGAAAAGAAATGAGGTTTGAGTACAATTAGCAAGAGGATCGCGGCTGTCCGCTTTCCTGGAGGTGTCGTTTAAAGCCAGACGAGAAAAATATGTGCGCATCAATGACACAAGCTGGAGGGCACAGCCAACCAACCAACGCACACACACGAAAAGACAGGAAGCCTACAAAGGTCATCTGTGAAGGATGTGGTGCACGAACGATGCACACATTTTACGGCGCACAGCGCGCAAAGGCCATGGTGTGACTTAAGATTTAGTGGATCTTCATGTGAGACCACTTGTCCTTGATCGCAAGCTGCTGCAAGTGATCCTCGACAATCTCCTGCATCATGTCCTTGGTCAGCATGTTGGTGCGCGAGCTGTGGGCAGCAGCTTGGAAAGCCGAGCAAAGCTTTGCAATTTGACGGCCAGAGAAACCAGACAGACGGCCAGCAAGCTCGGCAAAGTTGAAGGCAGCCACGTCCTCGTGAACAGCAATGGGACGACCTTGCTTGCACTCGGTCACGTATTCCTTGAAGTACAACTCGATCAAGCGCTGACGCTCGGATTCCGAGGGAAGACCAAGCTCAACAACCTCATCGACACGATCCGTCACGGCACGATCAAATGCAGCGGGCTCGTTGCTGGAAAAAACGAGCATAAACTTGTCCGTGGGGGAGCCAGTGCGGTACAGGAAAGTGCTGAGCGCGTTGCGCATCTCCTCGGACATCTTGCCATCACCAGTCTCGCCGCGCTTGCGCAAGAAGGCATCAGCCTCATCAATAAACACCAGAACACTACACAAGAAGAGAAAAGGCGGAAGCAAAAGTGTGAGTTGTGCACCACTGAATGTTCGCCATAGCTTGTGAAAAGGGAAAAAAGGAAAGGAATGTAAGCCGTATGGTTTTTCTCAAATCATCATGACCGCGTCGCGGTCCACTGTAGCCCGTAAGGGCTTCAGTGATAGATCGTGATATGGAATATACGGACGCTGGCAAGCACTCCAGACTACACGAGGCAGCCAGAGTACAAGCGAGCTTGATATACGATGGCAGGACATAGAGAAGCGCCATGCCGCCTTTCGGTGGTGGTTGCCATCACGTATCACAGCTCAGGAGGGTTTAACGCCTCCAGAATTGTGGTGACAGCGCCCGGGCGCTCTCATCGTCCAAGAGGGGACGCACGAGTGGCCAGACCCATGCAAACATCCCTCCCATCGAGCCCAATCCCGAAGGATAGGAGTGACGTTGTGTGATTGTTGTGAAAGATGAAACAAAGAGTGGGGAGTGCAACTTACCCGCGCTTGCTAGACTCGGCCCAATCGAAAACACGGTGCAGCTCAGTCACGGCATCCTTGCCAAGAGGTCCAACATCACCACCAGCGAGCACGGCATACTCGAGGCCAGACTGCTGAGCGAGACGACGGCCGAACATGGTCTTGCCAGTACCGGGGGGACCGTACAGCAACAAATGGCGGAAAGCGGCGCCGTTGGCCTTGGTGTTGGCGGTGGCAACGGTGATGCTACCAAGCGACTTCTCAGTCTTCTCGTTCAAGACCATTCCCTCGAGAGGGTTGCCCTTCTTGGAGGAAAGCATGCGCTTGATGGAGCCCCAAGGGTTCAGGATAAAGGGTTGACGCGAAGTCTCGCGGATCAGCGGGGGCTGGCTCAGGCGGCGCTGCAGGTATTGACCCGCAACGTTGGTACCCGCACGAGCGGCGTACACACCCAATGCGAGACCGGTGACGGCGCCAATGGTCAAGGCCACGTTCTTGGGGTCAGAGGCGTAGTCACGGGCCATCTGGCGCATTTCTTGGCCATACGCCTCGATAGCCGCCAAAGTGGTCTTGCGCCCCTCCTCGGCCTGAAGCACGAGCTGAGCATCGCGAATGTCACGGTTTTCACGCTCCTGCTTGATACGGGCCTCGGCATCAACTTGGGCCTAGAACCAACATCAAAAGTCAAATCGTGAGAGGAAGCTAGAAGCAAGAGACATGGAAGGAAGAACAATCAAAAAGCGGGGCTGCCCTTTGTCGATCCACACGTCACAAATGAAAGTCTAACCTTGGCCAGTTCGGTTTTGCGACGAAGCTGGGCCTCGTACTCCATCGTCTTGCGACGTTCATTCTCCTGGCGCATGGCTACGTCTTGCTGGCGTTGACGCTCTTGCTCATTGAGCTGGGCTTGCTGACGGAGTTGATCCTCGTAACGCTGACGCGCGATACGGTCCTCCTCCTGAGTGCGCTTCACACGCTCTTGAGTCTCAAACTGCATGGTGCGGCGGCGCTCTTCCTCGACCACCTGGGCGACCTTGGCCTGTTCCTCAATGCGCTTGGCTTCGGCTGCCGCAGCATCGGCCCTGAACTTCTCCTGCCAAGTGCCCTCTTGCTGACGGGCCAGATCCATCAACTCGTTGGCCTTGTCTAGATTGAACCGAACCCAAACATGGCCAAAGGACATGAGAAGTTACGTGCGCCCAAAGTCTGCCGCAAGGTGTTCGACAACCAAAACGGGGTATGGCACGTGAGCCTACCGTAGCCCTTGAGAGCGTCAGCTGCCTTGACAATGCGCTCCAACACGTTCATGGTCTCAGTCGCATCCTAAAGCACGGGGAAAAGACAAAGCATGGGGTCAGGTTGCAGTCGTGGGAAGCTGGTCTGGCAAGGCACGCGGCACGCCACACGTGGCGCCAGTGGTCAGACAGGATGAGGGTGACGAACCGTGTTGCCTGCCGTCGAGCCAATGGCCTCGAGAGAAGGGGGCACGCTGCTTCCAGAAGGAGGCAGGGGCGCCGAGGCACCGCTGCCAGTGGGCGGCGGGGCGGCGGCGCCATTCTGGTCGCCGCCCTTGGATCCACCCGTTAGCCAGCTGAACATGATGTCGATTCACGCCCAACGGGAACAGAGAACAGACAACGAATCAAGAAAATGCCACTGAACGGCAGGCGCGTTGTCTTGTTGCCTCCCGCGTGCGTGTGCGTGTTGGTGACTCCCCACACACACATGCACTCACACCGTTGAACGTATTTGACATGCACCACACCTCCATGCAGCTGAGCCCTGACCACGTGTGTGCGTCTGGATGTGCAAACCTTGTAACACAACAGTGCACAGTGACACACACTTGAAGAACAAAAACGTGGGTCGGTGGTGAAAGAAAGACGTAATGCGTGGTGGTGGAAGAAAAACGTAGAAAACTCTCAACACGGTCATTCAACGTGTTGGGAAAACAACAAGAATTGTCAGAATGTAAGAAATATATAATGTGTAAAAAGCTAGACTTCCGCATCCGTCGAACTTTTTCATTTTCCGAGCGACGGCGATCCATCCGTCTGGACTTGGTCGACTGGGTACCGTCAACATGTCCAAGCCTCCGGCCAAGCAGGCCAAGCCCGAGGCGGTAAGCGAGCAGGGCATCTCCAGACAAAAGGGGACAGCATGTTCTGGGATTTGATGATTTTGATGAATTACATCTTGGTCTGATATTGATGCCCGACTCACCACGCAACCAACATGGATCATTGACGCCGACAGACAACTGACGACTATGGCCGTCGCAAGTGGGATAAGGAGGCGTTCTCGCGGGCGGCACGCGAGCGTCTGGAGATGGAAGAAATGGAGCTAGAGCGTCAGCAAGGTAAGGCATGGTGCTGTTTAACTGCTAGCCAGATGTCTGACGTGCGCTCACCTCACACTTCATGGTCAGGTCGACAAAATACCAAACCTGTGATGCGACCTGCATTGCAGGCACGCCAGCATGAGGTGCGCCTCGGAACATGGACTGCCGCCGCCAAGCTCGGTGCCATTTGCTGGCTTTGCCAATGTCCATGCACATCTTGAGTTGACCTCTTTTCTTTGCTTGTTGCCATGGGTCCTGTGGCGCCGGCAGGTGGATCTTGGCTCCAAGCTCCACACCTCCCGCGTTGTCGACAGCATCCGATCGAAAGGTGCGGGATACTTTTGCGAAGTCTGCGACGTGTTGTGCAAGGACTCGAACAATTACCTTGACCACATCAACAGCAAAAAACGTACGTACATTCGTGTTGTCTTGCCCAGGCCCTGTGTGATGACACACAACGCAATCGTTTCGTCTTTCTTGATGCGCGTCGCCTGCAGATCAACGTGCACTGGGCATGTCCATGCGTGTTGAGCGGTCCAGATCTCGACTGCGGCACGGGCCGCCGTTGTCCACAGGTGGATCAGGAAAAGCAAGCCAAGGTAGATTACAACATTGACAAAGCCATGGCACTAATGCAGGACGAGGATGAGCGACGCAAGGTGCGATCCATGCCCGCTTGCTCGGTCGCCCACGCACACCCACCCACCCACCCACCCACACACACACACACACACACACACACACACACACACACACACAAAGGCTTGTTTGAATGGCTAACAACTGCCTTCTCTTTAACATAACAGCGGGAGAAACGGCAACGCAAGAAAGAGGCCAAGCGCCAACGTGCCGAGGTTGCCCCTGGTTTGTTTTCCCATGCCTCGTGCCCCTTTCTCGCTTTCCAGCTGTCCTTTTCTGTGCGTGGCCCTGACACGCATATCTGTACGGTGGTCTGGCAGAAGATGACGACGTCGATGCAGAAGAAATTGACCCAGCCCTAGCTGCTATGATGGGATTCCAAGGTTTTGGCAAGTAACACTACTAGTTCATCCCGAGTCACGGCAGGCAGCATGTAAATGCTTTGTACACAAATCAACACACCGATTCCGTTCACGAGCTTTCTGCAATTTCCTTTTTTCTTGTTTCTTTCTGTAAGCGACCATGCCAGCGCATCGACGCAGAAATGCGCGAGCGCGCGCGCACGCGAGAATGCACGGGACCTTTGTGATCAAAACCGGCGGCTCGGCCATTGACCGAGTTCTGCACGAGTGGCCCGCTGTGTTTTGCTCAACTTGACTAATCAACAATCGAGTACACGACAATAAGCATGGGGTCGGGGTAGCTCGTGACTCTCAAACTGCGCTGGCACCCCCTCAGGACAGGTGTGCTTAAAAGGCCACCCAGCTATCACCCGCGCCGTCTTTAGACCTAAGCAGCCCACGAGGGTTATGAGCTGACACCTGAGCATGTCACACGGGATAGAGAAAGTCAGGGTCAGCGTAACGTACGCTGACGCAAAATCCCCGAAAGGATCACTCTTATCCTGTGCAGCTGGCCGAGAGGCGAAAGGATCACCACCGCTCGCAGCAAAGGGGTTGGCAGCCGAAGACGATGGTGCAGTGGCTGGCGCTGAGCTACTGGCAAAAGGATCAAACTCGTTCTGGCTTGCAAATGGATTCTATCCCCGCGTATAAGAGTGTCGTTCGAGCCTGGTGAGTCAGAGCCAGAATTTATGCTCAGACCTCGAGCAGAAGGGGCTAACCTGTTTCGGCGTTGAGGCAGCCGCTTTGGGAGAAATGGTCGTTGCAGAGAATGCGGCCCCTAAGGAGACTAGAGAAGGCGAGCACTCACATCAAGTCGAGAGAGGCCAAAGCTGCCACGAGGCTGAGAAGCAGGCGAGTCAATGCCTGATTTACCCATGGGTGCGGACTTGGACTTGGTTGCCGGCTCCTCATCATCATCATCCCGTTTCTTGGTCTAAGATGAAGGAGTCACCGCATTGGGCTGACGCATGAGCAAACTCTTTCCGTGGCAAGACGTGATGCACAGCCAAGCCAGAGAAAGAGGAGTCTGACCAGGGCAGAAAGAGCAGCCGAGCCGTACCTTGATGTTGATTTTGATGGTTTGGCCCTCTGCCATCTTGAGATCGTGTTTGGGCACGTACTCTTCCTCTGTCTGTGCATCTGCCGACTTTTTGAGGGACCTGTGCCACAGCCCCCGACATATCAAGGCAAAATGGTCTTGTCAGTTTGTTCCACAAATCTGGCCCAAACGGTTCCCATCCTTAAAACCTACTTTCCAAAGTCCTGCAGCGCTACACTGAAATCAAAGGCCTCGGAGCGATCTGCAAAGCCCATTCCCAAGAACGCATGGCGCCCCTGGTTGACGACCTTCAAGACAAAGTAGCTGCCGCGCCCATTGTGCAGGTGAGTGGATGCTGAGGCGGCTGGACCAATGTGACTAGCAAGCCGCATGCACGCATGCTTTGTGGGAGCAACGTCACACGGACGCACCGAGAACTGTCAATGACGCTTTCGACCCAGTTGCTGGGATCACTGTCGATGGGTGCCTGTGTGGATGACCGACGAAACCAGTGAAGACGCGGGGTACCGATGCCCAGGGTATTCTCCGCTTTGCAAATGCACGCATCCAGAACAAGGACGGCATACGTACCTCGGCAAAGAGGGCACCGGTTGTAGTATCTGTCAGCGAGACGGTGCATTTCTTGCCCTTGAGGGTCACCTGATAAGTGTTGTCCCGACCAGACAGGAGGGGCAGCCTTGGTGAGGCTGAGATCCTCCTCACCAATCAAGGTTTGTTAGTGGCCTCTGCCTACCTTGAGACGACCAGTCCAGAGGGGTTTGTCAAGACCCCAGTCGGCTGCACGATATCCCTTGTTGGTCTGACGTGGTGGTAGGCGATAGACCATACACTGCAACACATGACGTTTCAAAGATCCAGCAGTCATATCATGCACAGCCCAATACCAGATTATGAGCCACAGCCACGGCCATGGCCAAATGCATGACCTTGGAGGAAAACACATAAAAAAAACGAAAAGAAAGCCCCCGTTCAAATCAGCTCGGAGGTCCCCAAGCTCCGCCAGCCATTGACCAGCTCACCTCGCGCACAACAAGCGCAATCTGCTCAATTTCATCAGCCATCTTCACGTCTGCAAACGAGAAATAAGCAAAGAAAAACAAAGCCCAAATCGATGAATTCTCCAAACGACGACACCAGGCGCCTCCTCCCCCCCAACACCCCCTGCCACTGCCACTGCCACTGCCACTGCCACTGACTGGAAGTTCAGTCGCACACCCACCTCCAAACGAAACCAAGAAAATGAATCATAACAACACACACACACACACACACACACACACACACACACACACACACACACACAGAAAAAGGATGACATTTGTGGATTTTCTTTGGTTTTCAAGACACACAGACACTCGACTCGTTGTGTAGTGGTGGCAGCTGGCGGCGACACTGGCAGGTGGAGGGGCGGAGGGTGTGAATGGTGTTGATCGGTGGTGTTGGGGGATCATGTCGTGAGCTGGTTGGATGTGGTATTGACGGGCTTGTTTGTGAGCTTTTCTCTCCATGACTGAGGACGTTGCGTACGCTTGGGCCAACATGGACTACCTCATTGTGGGCGGCTCACTCGTAAGATCGATGGTCGACCCTCTGCCCTGGTCGGTTGATTGAGTCTCTGCTGATTGGCGTCTCGGGGCTCTTTGATGCAACCCATTTTGCAGGCAGCCTTTTGTACAGCGGGCTGGATATTTGTGCGCCACCAGCTGCAGACTGCCCATGTATGTCCTCACTGCGCTGCACCCTTGGCTTGGTACATGGCCCCCATGCCTCCTCATCACTCGGTCTGATGTGATGCTCGGCCCCCTCTTCGCTTGCGCTATTGGATAGCATGCCGTGATCCAAGGACTGCTCTTCTCCACCACGTTTGGCCTCAGCTTGTCGCTGCTGGAGCTCTTGATCTTTGAAATCCTTGATGTGCTAGAGGCCCACTTCCGTCACCATGCGTGGTATCTGACCCTGCAAGCCATTGTGGTCTTGCTGGTCGTGGCACTGCCCCTCAACTTCTTCCACGAGCTTGTCTGGCTCAACAGCAACAACTGGCGCCTTGGATTGCTCAAACTGACAGCGCTCTGGGCCACATTCCTCCTCTGCTTCGCGCGCATCACTCAGATCCACTCCTTCTTTGGTGCGCGCACACGCCTTTTGTGACCCGTTGGTTCGGTCTCTCTTTGAGCAACCTTGCATGACTTCCTCTGCCCGCTGGACGCGGCGAACACGGCAAAGCATGTGTTGTCGCTGCTCCTCAACTGGTCGTGTGTTCATCGTGCTGTGCGTCGTGTTACAGACTTTATGACTCTTGAGGGAGCCGTCGCTCGGGTTGGCGTCATTGGCGTCACAACCATTGCAATCCTCTCCGGCTGGGGTGCCGTGCACACTCCCTACAAGTTTTTGCATCTCTTTTTGGAAAGCGTGGACGAGGTACAGCTGCTCGAGCTGCTTTTGAAAGCTTATATGCCTGGTCCACCATCCTTTGCCCATGCTCAAGCCACATTCTTGTTGATGGCACGACAACTCTAGGGCGAGCTGCGACAGCTCAAACAGCAGCGAGAAGCCCTCACGTATGACAAACTCAAGTCCTCCGCAGAATCCACAAACTTTCACCATCCATCATGCCTAATGTTGTGTCTGGGCATGCCACCCCGGCAACGCGTGTTAGGGACAAACTCCGTCAGAAACGCCGACAGTTGTCCGAACTCGTACCGGCACGCCAGCAGGCGTCTTCGACTGGCTTCTGGTCCATGTTTAGCAACAGCCTCAGCAGTGGTGAGTTTGAAAAAGGGTGGGCCATGAAAGACCACGCCCATCGCGCGCCATTTGACGTTGGGCCGCAATCCTGCACTGGCACTTGGCATGCGTTTACAGAAGGCCGGGCGGCGGCGGCGTTGGAGCAAGAAACCGTGGCCATGGAGACCATGCTAGCGTTAGTCTCTTGTCAGGCTCCTCCAATTCCTTTGCTTCAACTCTCGGCGGGAACTGTGATTGGTTTGGTGGAGGAACTTTGATCTGATATCACGGCAATTCTCTGTTCTGTTTCTGCTGCCGAACTGATAGGCAGCTGAACAGCAATGTGCGCGATTTGGAACAAGCCAAGCATCGGTGGGATGAAGCCTTTACCTTCAAGGTGAGCCCAAGGTTGCTGAGCTCATGTTTGCTGAGCCGCACGCACAAACCAAAGGTCCAACACCGTTGGATAAGCTTGAACGCGGTTTTAAACGTGAAAGGATGGTTTATTCGCCAACCGATGGGCACATATCTGGCGTGTGGCTGACCACCCACCGCCCCTTGCTTAGGGGCGAGTTTTGAACATCATGGGATATGTCCTCTCGGGCTACTGCATCGTCAAGGTGTTTTTGGCCACCATCGGCCTCTTGCTGGTACGTGCGGCCCACGGCAGTGTCAAGTCATCCCGGCACCCTGGCCAATCTGGGGCTGAGTCGGTTCGATGCTTTGTTTTGTTTCTCGTGAAACCTTTTCACGTTTGTTTGTTTTTCTCCTTCTAGGGTTTGACCAAGAAAACCGATCCCGTGACGCGATTGATGCAAATTACGGCGGATTGGCTCCAGCTGGGCGTTGACGTACACTTTTGGTCTCAACAAATTTCTTTCCTCTTTGTAAGCCCGTGACCATGGTTTGAGCCATCCATGCATGTGATATTCCATCCGTCATGGCAAACTTTCATTTGACGTGTAGGTGGGGGTAATTATTCTGGCCTCGACTCGCAACTTTATGTTGAAAATGAGCTTGGTAGGTCATCTGTTGGCACCATTGCGACCGAGCAATCGTTTGCCTGTATGCAGGCAGCGTGTAGCTGCGTTCCTTTGAGCGCTGACTAGCCGCAACCCAACTCGTGCATGCATCCACCAGGTCGTACAAACGTTGACGAGTGCAGGCGCTAGTGTATCCGGTGCTCTCATGACGCTGATGGCTGAAATTATGGTGCGTAAGCCTTGGTCTATGGCCCCTCGCAATATGTCCCTTGGATTCAGGCTGGTTCGCGAGATTGCATGTTGTGTGTGTCTTGCTGTCACGTGCTTCCGGGTGACGGGCGCTTCAGGGCATGTACTTTGTGGCCATGATTATTCTGATGCGCATGAACATGCCACCACAATACCGGTGGGTGGGTCGGATCTTGTCGGACCGAGTGGGATGAATGCTTTGATCGAGATCAAGAGCTTGGCAACTGGCGACTCACCTAGCTGATGTTTTGATTCTGACTCGACCTTGTGCTTGACACCATGCCCCATGCCTTTTCTTGGTTGATGCACAGCACGATCATCACGGATGTTCTCGGTGGGTTGCAATTCAACTTTTTTCACCAGTGGTTTGACCGAATCTTCTTGGTATGGACTCGTGATGCTGCTTGCGCCCGGGGGGAGGGTATGATGATTGTAGCTGATTGAGCACTTTCTGGCCTCATTTTTGTTTGGGGTGCCGCCATTAGTTGAGTGCGCTTCTGGCCTTGGGTGGAATTTACGTATCGCGGAAGGCAGCCGCCAGCTCGACTTGGTCATCCCTAGTCTAAAAAGGAATGTGATGGAAGCCTGAATGGACGCTGTGGCCCGGAGCACCAAACGCAAGTTGACTTGAATTGAACCAGAAGGGAGGCAAGCTTAACAATCTGCGGAGAGGAATGCCAAATTAAAAAGAGAGGGGGAAAAAAAAAAAAAGAAAACGAAGAGAGAGAAAGAGAGAAACAAGGACGCGCACACACACACACACACACACAACAGAACCCATGAGACGGAGAGGGGGTGCAGGGAGAATCGGACGCTACATGTAAAATTCGCTGAGACAGGCAAGAAGCCAAGGTGATAACAGCCAACCAAAACTCGTGCCTCTGGGACAACAGATAAGGGGTGGAGACCGGCCCACTCTCAGAGGGGCCCGGGTGGACAGGATAAACGGAAAAGACCAAAGTCATAATTTTACGCATGGCTGCAACCTTTGGACTCTCCGCGATGCACTGTCGCTGCTCACATTACAAAGGTCTGGGAGGGATGCGAATACACCCCCTGAGGCAGAAGTCAGGGCGTGAACAAGACCACCACCATTATGCCTTGCCCTCTTTGTTGCTCTGCGCGCGGATGGTGCTTTCACGCTTGGGATAAGTAGGGGTTAGGCCAGCCTAAACAGCGACAGCCACAGACCGTGCATGAGCATGAGGCAACGTGCAGACACAAAGATGCCAGGCAGCCACAATCGGCCCCTGCTGCAGCCGCCACGAGGCTTACAGACCTTGCCCAGGAGCTGTGCCACACGCTCTGTGGGCTGTGCGCCAGCCGCAAGCCAGTGCCTATTGAATGCCGCGGGGCGTTTTCAAGCGAAAAAGGGATGAGAGGAGCGCTGGCACAAAGCAGCGAGCGCCGAGCGCCGAGCGCCGAGCGCCGAGCCGAGCGAAATACTGCAGGGCCAAGGCGGGGACCGACCGAATGCGGGCAAAGTCAAAGCTGCAGACTTTGGAGCCGTCGGCACGAGGAATGGGGTCATAAGTGCCCAGCCGCTCAAGGTGCTTGCCATCGCGTGGGCTGCGCTGGTCGGCTGCCACAATGCGGAAGAAGGGACGATGGCGGGCGCCAAAGCGCTGGAGACGGAGCGCGACGGGCATTGTGGCGAGCGCAGGGGGGTCGAGGAAAGTCTAGTCCATAACAGTTGTTGTAAACACATGTCGATTCTTGCGTCGAGAAACAGCTGTTGTGCGTCATGGAACCAGCCCTTCTTTCATAACTTTTTTGTATTGTTTGACAGCCAAAAAAGGCCGCAGAACAAAACCCACACGTGTGAGCTACCTCAGACGGACGTTACCGGTCCACCACGCTCTCTCTCTTCTTCTTCTTCGTTTGATCATCATCACTGCTTCTTCTTCAACCAGCAGTCAGTCAAGCAGTCAAGTCATTAGCCCTTTGACAGCTTGTGGCCGTGCCTTTGGACCACGTCATTCTTTCTTTTGTTCCCTTTTGTTCTCAAGGGCTATTCAGTGTGTGTGTGCGGGAGTGGCACTTTATTACTTGCGCAGCAAACGCAACAAAGAAGAAAGGTATGTACGCTTGCTGGCTCTCTGGGGGTTGGACTTGCTCGTGCCACCTTCTCTTGGTTTGCCTTTGAAATCACACGGTGTGAGACCATGTGGATGGATCGTTCTCTGGCCTGTTGGTGGCTTTGCGTGTGCGTCTCTGCCTTTTGAGCACCAAGTGCGTGTGTCGCTGCCGTGATGGCGGTTGTGCTTTTGGCAGCCGGGCTTTGGGCTGGATCAGGCGTTAGCGACTGGGCTGCCCTTTGCTTGCATTACCTTGTGATGTGTGTGTGTGTGTGTGTGACAGATGCAACTGTGCATTTGAGGCTCGAGAGTGTTCGCCGTGTGCTGTTTTGTGCCATCACACATGAGAAGCGTCGGGCAAGCTGTGCGCACCATCTGGCGGCGGCTTGCTGCGTTTGACCCATCTTGACGAGTCCTCTTGCGCGTACTGAAGCTCCTTTTCTTTCGGTTGAATCCTTGGGGCTGCTGTTTGTCCCTGCGTGCCGAGTTTTTGTATTGACTTTGTTGGATGGGCATGCCCGCGTGTTTTTTGCTGAGCCGGGTTTTGTATTGATCTTTTGCGCTTCAATACCTTTTGCCACTCTTGCGTTTGCATGGCAGCTGTGAGTTTGCTTGCGTGTTCTCACTGCGTTCGGCCGTACTGGTTGCTTTACATAGAGATGAGTAATGGCGCCAACCCGAACGGTTCGGATCTGAGTCAGCATATGGCTGATTTGGATTTGACCAAGACCAAGCCCTCTGGAGGTTCTCGATATGTCCCTCCCCACTTGAGGAACCGCCAGCCCTCTGGGCCCGCTCCACCTTCCGGTGGTCGCACTGCTGCTCCCCCCGTCAGCGCTCCACCCCCGTCCAGCAACGGTGGTGGTCGTGACTTTGGCAGCTCCCGGCCTCCCCGCGGCAGCCGCGATGGCTCCCGTGACATGGGCGGCAGCCGCCCCCCGCGCGACGGCGGGCGTGGTGGCTCGTGGGATGTCCAGCCTCGCTTTCAGCAAGAGGACTGGACCAGGCCCCTGAAACGCAACGAGCGCATGGAAGAAGAACTCTTCGGCTCAAACCATCGCACGGGTGGCATCAACTTTGAAAAGTACGATGACATTCCCGTCGAGGCCTCTGGCAACAACGTGCCGGCTCACATTTCCGAGTTTGCCACCGCGGGCCTTTGTGAGCTCATGACGGGCAACCTTGAGCTCGCTCGCTACACGGTACCCACCCCCGTTCAAAAGTACTCGATTCCCATCGTCCAAGCCAAGCGTGACCTGATGGCTTGTGCCCAGACGGGTTCGGGTAAGACGGCCGCCTTCTTGGTGCCCATCCTCAACCGCGTGTACGAGACGGGACCCGTCCCGCCCCCACCCAATGCGCGCCGCAGCCAGCAATTCCCCGTGGCTTTGATCTTGGCCCCCACCCGTGAGCTTGCCATTCAAATTTATGGCGAGGCTCAAAAGTTCTCCTACCGCTCTCGCGTCCGCATCTGCTGCGTCTACGGTGGTGCCTCCCCCCGCGACCAGATTCAGGACTTGCGCCGCGGTTGCCAGCTTTTGGTGGCCACTCCCGGTCGTCTGGTTGACTTTATGGAGCGTGGCGTCATTGGCCTCGACTCGATCCGCTTCCTCGTCTTGGATGAGGCTGATCGCATGCTGGACATGGGTTTTGAGCCCCAAATTCGCCGCATTGTTGAGGAAGACAACATGCCTCAAGTCGGCATTCGCCAAACCCTCATGTTCTCGGCCACCTTCCCCAAGGACATTCAAATGCTGGCCCAGGACTTTTTGGACGACTATGTCCATCTTTCCGTTGGCCGCGTCGGTTCCACCTCGGAGAACATCCAGCAGATTGTGCACTGGATTGACGAGGCTGACAAGCGGCCCTCGCTCCTGGATCTGATCTCGGCAGCCAGCTCTGAGGACCTCTTCCTGATTTTCGTCGAGACGAAGAAGGCCGCTGATGCCCTCGAGTACTACCTCACCATGCAGGGTCGCCCCGCCACTTCCATCCACGGCGACCGCACCCAGTATGAGCGCGAAGAAGCGCTTGCCGACTTTCGCGCCGGTCGCCGCCCCATCCTTGTGGCCACTGCCGTGGCTGCCCGTGGTCTGGACATTCCCAACGTCAAGCATGTCATCAACTTTGACCTGCCCTCGGACATTGATGAGTACGTGCACCGTATTGGCCGTACCGGTCGCGCTGGTCACAAGGGCACGGCCGTCAGCTTTTTCAACGACAAGAACCGCAACGTGGCTCGCGACCTGTTGAACGTGCTCCGCGAGGCCAACCAGGACATTCCCTCCTGGCTTGAGGGTGTTGCTGGTCCCTCCTTTGGTGGCGGACGTGGCGGTGGTGCCCGTCGTGGTCGCGGTGGTGGCCCTCGTCATGGCTCTCGTGATTTCCGCCAGAGTGGCGGCGGCGGCGGCGGTGGTGGTGGTGCCCGTCGCAACGGCGGCGGTGGCGGTGGCGGTGGCAACCGCTCCTCTCACCAGGGCGGTGGCTATCAGAGCACTTTTTCTTATGGCAACGAGGGCAGCGCCTATTCAGCTTATCCCCAGGGAGGCAGCACGGGCGGTGGTAGCTGGTGGTAATTGATACACCCCGCATACCCGTCTTTGGCAGCGCCAAATCTTGTCCTAACTTAAACATTCCTTTAAGCTAGGCCAGGAATCGATAGAAGTATTTTTGTGGGGTTTTTCTTTTCCTCATTGTGCTGTGTTTTTTTCCTCCCACCTTTGTACTTCCAACCATGTGTGTTTCACACTGCTGCCTGTCGCCCGACTCTTCCCTCCTTTTGCATATCTGTACACGCATCATGTGACGTTTGCTTCCTCCCGCCCTTTTTGGCGGAGAGTCGGCTTTCGTGTCGTTGGCTATCCTTGTTCCTTTTTGACTCGGCGCTCATCTGCCGACATGACTCAACAATCGATTCACAACCGACACTTTGACGCTCTTGATTCATTCAAAAGTAAAAGCCCAACAGATGTGACGCGCAGACGTTGGTGTCCTGTGTCAATTAGTTGTGTGCCGTTAAAACGACGAAAAAAGAATGGCAAGGGGAGGTTTTACGAGCAAGCCTCGATCAAGTCTCAAGCTTTGAACCCGGGGAACCCTCATCCTTCAACGCTGGCTTGGCCTCCCACGCCAATGGACCCGGTTGTGTGCCCTCAACACCAGTACCTGACATTGCTTGTTCAGCCTCTGATGCGCTTGTTTTCGGTCTTACTTCTTTGGCATCAGCCTCAACGTCATCGTTGGACCTGCCTTTGGCATCATGGCGAACCTCAGCTTCAGTCTCCTTGATCCCAGGTCCAGGCTCGGGTTTGGCGGGCTGCGCATTGAGAGTCGTGGGAGCCTCAACCTCAGCCTTTTTAGGCTGGGACTCTTCCGTCTTAGAATTTTCGGTGGTGCCTTGTTGGGAAGGGGAAGTTGTTCCTGTCACGCCTTCTGCCTTGTGCTCCTCGAGTGCTTGGGCTTTGGTTTCGGGATCTGCTGTCTTGGCCACCTCGGTTGACGCACCAGCACTCTTTGTTGCCACGTCAGTCTCGAGCCGAGGCTCTGTAGACGCAACCACCTCAGTGTTGCCCGTTGCCGCCTTGTTCGTCTCATGAGGCTGAGACACTGCGGACGTGGTATCCTCAGCTTTACTCGCCTCAGATATGAGGTCTTCGACCTGAGTGTCTGCAGCCTTGGCAGCCACTGATGACATGCTGTCCTCGTTCGTGTTCTGCATAGCCTTGTCGGCGTCGGGCTGAGCTTCTGCCGACTTGATCTCCTCCAACTTGCTTTCAACGGGCTGGTCATGGCCATCACCTGACAGCTTCTCTCCATCGACCTCACTCAGCGATGACAACTTGGAGGTCGGCTCCTCGGGCTTGACTTCACCGTTCGCCTTCAAGGGAGCAGTGGACGTGGGCTGGGCCTCAAGTGCTTGAGACGTGTCGCTCTCGGACTCGCCTGTTTTGGAAGACGTCTGGCCGGGTGCTGAATTGGTCGCATCCGTACTTTCACGTCGAGATCGAACCGCTGGACCAGATGCAGATGCCGTGTCTATATTGGGCTGGCCTTGAACAGAGGGCGCCTCATGGGCCGTTAGACCAGAGCTGTGCACTGAGGCTGCCTTTGTTGGTGACGCTGGTTGGGTGCCAATTGTTGGTGGCGGAACCTCTGATTCATGAGCTCGTGCTTGGCCGTGTGCACCACTCTGGCTCACGGCATGGGCAAAGTCCAAATCCAAATCCAAATCAAAGTCCAGGTCCATGTCCATCGACGCAGCCTGAGTTTTGATCGACTTTTCTGCACGCACGTCATGAGCCGTGGAAACAGCAGTGGAGCTCGAGGCCGGCCCAGGTGCCACTGCCGCTGTAGCCGCTGTAGCATCTGTAGCCGGTTTATTCGGGGTGCTAGCAGGCACACTGGGATCAGGCCTGCGTTTTACACGCAGCGCATCAAGTCGAGCGGCAATTGACTCTAGAGCTGTTTTGAGTTTTGAACTTGCTGTGCCCTCGCTGCCCGCGCGGTCGGTCGGATCGGGGCCACCAGGTCGAGACTGCGACGCCATGTGCAGAAGATAGTGCAAATTGGATCTGGTAAAGCAAGGCAGGAGAAAGGCAATGGCCGGTTGCACCAGGGTGAGTGACAGCATCCAAAGCGCGCTGGGTCAGCTCAAGAATGGAAAGACACACTGACTTGTAAGGGCGAGAAAAGTCGAAATCCCCACGTAAAGCCTCGACCAAGCGGTCTGGCACCGTAACATCTTGAATGGCGTCGTCTTGCATCAAGCCCAAAATATTCAGGCCCAAGTCGGACACGCCAAAGTCACCCGTCAGCAATGCAATGTCATTATCCGCCGGAGTACCGTCGTCAGGCTGCCCATTTGTTCGAGGAAAAGATGAAGCATGAAAAAAATTGAGAGGAAAAAAAAAAAAAAAAAAAAAAAAAAAAAGAGGATGACGTTGAAGCTTTTGTGAGGTCACACCCCGTTTCAACTTGGCCATCAAAAGTTTGTATAAAACAAGAGGAGACAGTGGGCAGGAACATGAGCATCACATCCAGCCTCAAGTCAACAACGTACCGTATTCTGGCCTTTGCTGTAGCGATCGTGCACGCGCGACAATGCGCATCGCACAACCAAGCCTCGATGTCGAAGCCAAGCATGATACCTGCCCTCGTGACCAAGGTGCAAATGAAAAGCAATATCAATCAAAAACGACTTTCAGCAAGAGCGTCTTCGACTTGGCAGCCATCCTTGTGCCAATCATTATCATCATCATCATCATCATCATCATCATCATCATCATCATCATCACACACACACACACACACACACATGTTTCGCAGCCTCTTTGCGCGAGGAAAGGCGTTTTAACATACCGCTGAATGCCCGCCAGCCCCCCTAGATCTTGGTGCTGACATGCAGTGGCGCACACACGCTAATAACAAGCATGCCAACACATTAGAAAACAAATGCAGGGCAACTTACCAACCCCCTTGCTGGTAACGAAGACAGTTGACATATTGATAGACACCAAGAATTTTCCAACCTTGAGGCTCTCAGACGAGAAAGTATGGTCTCGAATTTGTGCAGTGCGCCGGCACAGTTGCTCCAGATAGCGTTCAGCACCCGCAGCAAGGGTGTTGAGCGTAACCTGCTCAACGCCTGACAATGCCAGTTGGGCACGCAATCCAAAACCAAGACATTTAGATTTGAGCCAGAGCTGCTCGGGGTTGAACCTTTGGACTGCTTGCGTTGCCCAAGACAATAAGAATATGCTCGATTAGAAGACGAGGCACGTACCATTCCAGCCCGCGTGAGCTGTCAGAATCGATGCGACACGGGTCACTTGTTGTCTGACGCCGCGATGATCCAGGCAAGGGCTTGGCTCAGTCATGGTCGGCGGTGGGTCGTAGTGTGCTCCCTCCACCAGCGGCCCCAGCTGAGAACAGCCAAGCGCCATCAGAAAAGACAGGAAGCGACGTGAGAAGCACCTTGATCAGCCGTGCCACCCACCACACAGACAGGGTCGGAGAACACACCGCCTCTGCCCGACGGTTGAAGCGATTGAGCTGCTGTTGCAGCGCGGGGTGCAGAGGCGCCGTGATGGCATCATCCCCCATGGATTTCTAAAAGCGTCAAGAGCAGAAGGCTGGGCGGTCAGCCTCATGCGTTGTCACCACGCTTATTGTCATTGGCTTTCTTCCCCAAAGCGAAATATTATTAGAAGAGAAATGTTTTTGCGCACCGGATCACGTAGTGCGCGTGACTCAGCAGAGACCAACGTGTGTTCAAGGTACAGTTGTTGAATAACCTGAAACCCATGCACAGAGGTGGCATGGAGTTGTTGAGCGAACAACGTTCGTGGATTCAGACTGTTCTCCATTCCGAAACAGCACTTGTGGATGGTCAAAAGCCTGTCGCCAGCACATACCGGATTGTGTAGGGACAAGGATAATTCATGCGGCATGCGCGAGGATGGCGCTGATATCGCGCGCTGCGGTGCTGGCGATGGTACTGCAATCCGGCCGCGGCCAACACTGTGCAGAATTGCTGCAAGATCAAGGCACATGGACATAGAAATCAGACAAACAGCGCACAAAACAGGATGCCAACAACGTCAGAGTGAAGACACTCGGGCCCCAGGGTGCCCCACGAGAGGAACGGGCCCCACAACAAAAATCCATGCAGCAGCAGCCAAGCGATAGCAGCCAAGACCACCGACAACATCAAAGCAAACACCGTACCGAGGGGACGTTGCGCCTGCAGCTGATCGATAACCCAGATCCGAGGAATGAGTGTTTCAAGTAGGTTGGCCAGGCCCTCGAGCTTGTCCGCAGCCGCAACGTATTCGGCACCCGAGGACTGATTGTATTGCCGGCAGTTGGTAAAAATGAGCCGCAAGTCGGTCATAAAGGCCTTGCCATCCCGATCTGCGTCGTAGTGACCGCTGAGCACGCGACTTCGAAGGGTACCAAGGTCCATGGGTGAGGATATCACCTCAGCATACTGTGGTGCCACCGAGGGATCAACCGGTTCGAGAAATGGCTGCGAGAATGGACTAAAGTTAACCAAGTGTTTGACGATCATCAGCAGCTCGTCGCGGTAGCGCGCTCTCCTCTCCTCGTCCGAGGCTACAATAATGGCTCGGCGCCCATCGAGTGTTTGACCCGCACCAATTTCATAAGGGAGAGGTAGATCGGCTGGGATCTCAATCATGGCAGAGGGCAGAAGCTTGGGCATTTTGGGTGGCCGCTCGCCCTGGCTTTGTTCATCGTCGGTTTGGAGAATTGTGTACGGGGGTAGCTGAGTAACGGCTGCCAGGTCACAGTGCGCACAGTAGAGGGCATTGCGCACGGCAAGAGCCAATGAAGGACTAAACCGACTCAGCAGGTCTGTTAGCTCGGACTCGATATCTCCGTCGAGCGCCGCGGGCTCGCGCGGTTGAAACAGGGCCTTCAGCTGGGCCGCCAGCGAGTCATGCGTTGGGGCGGACGGCTGAGATGCCGATGCCAGGTTGTGCGTTTCAACACCTGATGACGCCGCAGCGATGGAATCGGCCAGGTCGAGACTTTCGTCCATTTTCTCATTCTCGGCACCCGTGGCAGCAGGCCTGCTCTGGTCTTGCGCGGGGGCTTCTTTTTCAGGCACAGGAGCCGCGTGAGCGCTGGGAAGGCTCGAAGGCTGTAATTGGGCAAGGACATGATGCCAGTCCACCTGCGCGCCGGCATGGGCCAAAAGTGCAGGGTGCATCAACGTAGTAGCAGGGTCAAAGCGCCGGGCCCCGAGACTGGAAGCGCACGAGCGAGGCTGGGCGTCAGCAGCTGTCGAGGCCATCGCTTTGATCAAGAGAGCAAGCGCGCGGCGTCGTGCCCGTGGATGAGGCTAGTGTGACCAGAGCAATTCTTTGCCAACTTGAAGTGCCCGGGCCGTCGCCCTCACCAGCTCATTGGCACATGGCTTGCCCACATATGCTTCGTGTGCTGGCACTGATTTGCTCCGGCCCGACCCATTTGCTGAAGCAGAGCAGCCGATGTGAGCTTGCGTCGGCGAAAACCTTCAGACGGCGTCCAGTTTTCCGACCTCACACATGTAAGGCTTGGTGTTTGATACAAAGCCAAGCCAACAAACAGCTGACGCACGCCACCAGACTGCACGCCACCAGACTGCACGCCACCAGACTGCACCCGTCAATCAAGGACACCGCCCCCCCACTCGCTGACAGCCATTCACGTTCCGGCACGAAAACGGTTTTATGGGGCAGAGCTGTTGAAAACTGTGGTTTTGCTTACACTTTCAACTCATTGATGTTCTTCAAAATTTTGACTGACGCCTTCATACGATGGGGCTGGTTCCAACAACAAATCAAGACCAACGGAGAAGGGGGAGGATGAGAACGCAAGGTGCTAACATGTCAATTCAAGTTTACAGTGGAAGAGGGGGAGTAACAGGCTTGAAAAAGGCAGCAACGTCGGCCTCAGTGACATCCTCCACACGCGCATGAGACCATTCGACGGGAGGGCCCTTCATCAACTCTGGAAGTGGCGCGTGCACAACACGGTGGTGAGAAGTGAAGGGCTGGCTGGTGGCGTGACCGAGAGACACAGCAAAATTGATATTCCGCTATACCGAAGCAGTAGCAATCTTACTTGAGCTGACGCCGTTGTAAAAGTCGTCGCCGGCCTGAATTCATGACAAGCACAAAGTGGCCATCGTGAGCCCAGGAGATTTTGACCGCAAATGGCGAGCATGCACGTGCAAACCAGGGCCATAAGCCAGCGAGGGCATGTGAGTTGGGCTTGTCCTCTCGAACATACCACAGCGTGTTGCACCATGTTGTATTCCATCTTGAGGCACTCGCGCAAATCGGGCAGTGCAGCACCACGTTGCAGCTGCTCAAAGGTCACGGCAACGGAGGCAGGGCACTGTCACCACCGAGGCACATGAGCGTTGCCGAGACGTCAACAAGCAACACAAATTGCACAAGAATCACAGAGGAAGTGAGACAGAAACGAAAGAGCCCAGAAGATCCACGAAAAGCGAGAGCCACTGAGAGCCAGGCCACCCACAAGCTACCCACCATGCTATGAATAGTCTGCCAGATTAAATTCCACGATGAAATGGAATATAAAGACGCAGTTCATACAAAAACAAGAATGAGCGGGCGATACGATTCGGCATACAGTAAAGCAGTGGGGCGTCATGCCCGGTCGTCATCGCACCTCAAGCTGCTGGCGCCCCCAGTCTGACTCATCTGCGTGCGGGGCCAGCAAACAAGGGGAAGAGGGTCAAGCTTGGAACTGGTACAGCGAAACTTCAGCCAATCAGAAGACAAACCGAGATTCTCAAGGCAGGTCTTCAAGGCATCGACATCAAAGCAACGGCGAATCTCCTCCTGTGGGCGGAGCAAAGCAAGGAGAGGGGGCTGTCAGTGAGACCAAAAGAGAATACAGTGACTCCAGTGAGAAATACAAACGAAACAAGGGTGTGCCTATGCGCACCATATGCTCAGCAAAAACCGGAGTTTGTGTCGGGTCTTCGTGATAGTCACCAAGCACCGTCTGGACATCGCCGTGCGTTGCGGCACCTAGCTCGTTCCATGTCAGCAAAGCCGTGCACGAGATCAACAAATGGTCCGGCTTGCTCGACGCAAATACAAGGCAACGGCCGATTCGTGCAATCACACACCGGCAAGGTCGTCGACCAGAGCCTCGACGCGGCTGCTTGGGACAAAATGCGAGGCGATACCCGCCGTGAAGACATCAGCGCCCTTGAGTCGAGCGCCTGCCAAGGCACGGGCGCGGTCAGTGTAAATTGATTCGGGGTGCCTTTGGTCGATCAAGGCATCTGCCAGCCGACAAATTTACCTGTCAAAGCCAGGTACATGCCCAAACCGGGGCTAAGGCGAGGCAAAAAATGTGAGCCGCCGACGTCTGGGAACAGACCTAGGGAGAGAAAGAATCAAGCCAATGAGGGATCATCTTGTGCCAAAAAAAAAAAAGGCGGCCAGCAGTGGTGCTTATCGAGTCTCGCGAGCCTGTGCTGTGCGGTGACCAGGTCATCCTCATACATACCAATGGCAGTCTCGGGCATGGCAAACAGGGTACGCTCAGTGGCAACACAATACGGGCCGTGAACGGAAATGCCCACGCCACCACCCATCGTGATGCCATCGACGATGGCCACGACGGGCTTTTTGGACGTGGCCAGGCTGTGGTCCAAAATGTATTCTTCGGCAAAGAAGCTCTTGTGCAGAACATCCTTGTCATCTTCCAGCTGGCCCCTGTGCGAAGCAAGTGCCTGTCAGCAAAAGGGGCTGCAAAATGTGGATTTGCGGCTCTTCGAAAGAAAGTGTTGACTGCTTGAGGCTTCAACACAGCGCGTCCAATGACAGTCGTGTGCCAGCCAAATACGTACTTGGCACTCTTTGCGACCTGGACGACATCACCGCCTACAAGGGGGAACACACATCTACATGAGCGTGACGATTGGGAGCCAGGGTTGGGGTTGTAGTGACAGCGCGCATCCCAAAACGGGGTTGAGACCGGACGCTGGCAGCTGATGTAGCCGGCGCATGCAGATCGACCAACCAGCACAGAAGGCCTTTTCACCGGCCCCGACCAGGACCATGACATCAGTGTCAGAGCTGGCTTGGAAGCGCTAAGATATAATATATATATATATATATATATATATATATATATATATATATATATATATATATATATATATATATATATATATATATATATATATATATATATATATATATATATATATATATATATATATATATATATATATATATATATAT